AGCACATTTGGATCCGGCGGGCAAAGTTCTCGATGACCCTCCCACACTCTTCCCTTGGGATCGCTTTTATTGCTGCTGTGATTGCTGCCTTCAGATCAGGGATAGTCTGGGGGTTGTTGCCATACACCCTGTCCTTAAGGTATCCCCACAGATAAAAATCTGGGGCGTTCAAGTCTGGTGAATGCGGCGACCACTCCGGGTCACACCTGCGGCTGATCAGTCGGTCAGGGAAACACTGCAGTAGCCATGCCAATGATTCGTTTGAGGTGTGGGGGGTGGCACCATCCTGCTGGAACCACTGGAGGTCCCTGACGACCCCTCTTCGTCGACCAAGTTTAGGTGATGAACGCTTTTTTTGTGTCCCCCAGTATCTACCAGTCTTGGCCTTATAAAACAATATTGCACGCCTGAATTCTTGGTCTCACGATTATTGGGGGTGGGGTGGGGGTGTACAGTGCCTCTACCCCTCCTCCCGCCTATGGCCTGTACACAGCTGCTGACTATTCACATTAAAATAATTTAAAGTTGTGTGCCATCTGTCAGTGTCAGTCATATTAAAGGATATTGCACATACATGTGCAGACTTGTATCAGATGTTCACCCACGCAATGTTACTTAACAGGTGAAGTTAAAGTGACATTCCCCACTTTCATAGGGTATTATCAGTAAGTTTAGTTCTGGAATATTGAACTCAAAATGTGAAGAAATAACTCAAATAGTTTGACTGAAATGTTCAGTTAAAAAAAATGAGCAATTTGGAAGTTATCGTTTGATTTGTTGCGAATCACATTTATGTTATGACATTGTCCGTTTGTTTGAGTGACTTGTTAATCAAGACGATCACTTACCAAGTATGTAGACACTGTTAGCCAGGCTACCGGTGTTTCCCAAGGAAGTTCCTCAGGGATTTTTCAGCATGGTTTCCCCTATCAGTTGTGCAGCACAGAGGACCTGGCAACAAACAGCATCTAGTCGTGTACTAGAATAGTCCCGGCAAAATTTCCCTCGTATCTCACTGCATGGCATATGCCTAATTTAATTAGCCCTATCTATGTAGAAACTTAAGTTGTTAAACCATATTTCATTTCACTAAAATATATTTGGGACAGCGCCTTTAAGAGAATGGTATGTGTCTTGATGGGAAGGTTTGTTGATAAGCTGAGTTAAGTAGTTTCATCAAAAACAGCTGTTTAAAAGAAAACCCACCTTCATCAATAAACTTTATATATAGGAAGTAATCTGAATGAGAATGGAAGCAAGTTGTGTTGTCAGCCACCTGTAGAGAAAGTCAGGACCCACATGCAGCTAGTTACACCCTATGTATATTATGTTATGATATACCATGTTAGAAAAAACATTTCTAGTTGTTTTAAGGATACATGTTTAATATTATATGAGCTAGATATATCCTAAAGATAGCAATTACCAAGCCAGATAGTTAGCATAGCAGTAATAGATAAGCCAAGATAAAATACATGTCCCAACCTTAAAGGGGAAATCCCAGAATTAGGGAGAGAGATATCAACTGACACAAATTAGGTAATTTGGGGACTAACATATGGTTATTTAAATGATTTGCATGTCTGTGGAAGGAAACTGGAGGACCTGAAAAAAAACCAAGAGGCTAGGCAGGTGACCCTATTTCTTGTCATGTACAGCTTGGGATCGAAACCACACCACTTGACTCAATGACAGCCCTTAAGCTGTAAAGCTAAGACATTAGAGAACTGGACCACCCAACCTACTGGTTGTCACAAAATCGTAAATTAAAGTGAATCTATGTAAATGCAAATCTCCAAAATGTGCTGATATAGCCTATTACAAATCAACTATTCTCTGAGTGACTTGATAATCACAACAATCACTTACCACTGTAACTTCTGCATTTATGAAGACTCGTTTATCTTGACACTGTCACAGCATGGAATTTGGGGACTTAATGGCCAGCCCAACATGGAAACTCAATGTTTTTATTCTTAAAAAATAAAAAAAAAACTTACAAATAGTTGCATGAGATTAGAAAACAAATTGACAAGATTTCTTCTCTCCAAATTATCCAGTTTTAAAATACAAGCTGTTAACTAGAGAAGAAATTTTAAAAACTGTAAGATATCTGTGTAAAGTCTGCTTTTTTGAGAAACTATAGATGTTGGGAGGATCAGGGAAAAAGTGAAAAAATATATCTGGGACTTTTCCTTTAATTTTCTCACAAGAGCATTTTTAGCTTAGAATATCAAATTATCAAATTCCATTATGAGTCTGTCTGTTGTGTTTCCGAGTTTCTAGATGTCATTGTAAGAAGAACTTTCAGGGGGGAACTAGTCTGAAGCAATTAAATACATGTCTAATGAAAGGAAATTATTTATTTGAGTAACCTAGATCTATTGTTCTAATGGTACTTATAAAAACTTACCCTAAAAATTAACTTGTCAGACATTAATTTAAGATTACAAGGAAAACAAAAGCTAGTATATTAAGCCATGTCATGGCACTTATAAAAACTTACACCAAAAAGTAACTTGTCCGACATTAATTTGAGATTTCAAGGAAAACAAAAGCCAGTATATTAAGCTGATGTGATGATGTGAAAAAACACAGACTTGTGACTATTATAGAAGCCAGGTGCTTCCTGTCTGCGTACATGTCAACACATACTTATATCAAGATGGCAATCTCATTAATTATGATAACTACCATACATAATGTGTCTTTGTCTACTTGATAAAACTACCCCCCAAAAAAGGGAATCATCCTTGACCAGTCATATAGATATATCACATCTTCCTTTTAAAGATATCCTTCACCTTAGTGGAAACAATACTTCAATTGTTGTAAAATGAATCTAACATCTATTTATTTTTATTTTAGTGAAATTATAAATGACAAGAACTACTGTTGTCTTTCATCAGTTGATTATTAATGTTCTCTGTAAACTTTTATATATGGTCATATATTGTAATCACCCTTGTCTGCTGGCTGGCTGTACTCCTCCCTTTACAATTGCTTATGTTGTTGATCTGAATGCTACAGTTACCCTCAGATTAAAGACTGTTCACTGTGAACTAAAGAATCCTATTTATTGTCAATGATTTCTGATAATTACTGTCAGAGTTATGGCCCTTTATCATTTTGAGAGATCTTGAGGACCCTCTGGAGGCTAAGGTTATCAACCAATTGATTTGACATTTATAGACAGTGTTTGTTTCTCTTAATGAAATGTTGAACAACAAGAACTACAGTTGTCTTTCATCCATGAATTATTAATGTCCTCTATAATCTGTTATAAATGTGGGAATTTATTATCTTCACCCCTGTTGATCCACAGTGGATCAGAGAATATGACACTGACTCGTTAACCAGGAGGTTCCCTGGGTTTGATCCTGATGTTGGGCGAGAAAGTTCATCAGGATTACGCCTTGTGAGTGGTGCAGGACAGAGGCGTTGGAAATAAAAGTATCTAGTAACTCGGATGGGACAATAAACAAGATCAACCTGCGTACTCCATGCCGTGCATGTAAAAAGAGCCTCTCTGTTTAAATTAACTGATGAATTGGTGGAAACGCGAATGTTTGGTCAAAATTACTCTCATAACCCAGTTGGTGCTAAGAAGTAATACGTTAAAGCCCATTATTGTGTCCCTGATTTTGGTTCATAAAAAACAACCATGACCGTATTTCATGTTTTACTCGCTCCGATAAGTACAGTGACTACTTGTAGTGTATTATTTAACCATAAAAGAACACTTGTTTCATTCATGCGTTTTTTTAAAAAAGAAAAAGAAATAACTGCAGTAAGGATGTGGTGGAGATGCTGTACTTAATACTCAGGTGCTAGGACAGTTTATTAAAGAGAGGTTACTCCTGATCGTATGTCACAAGACACAGCAATTGTTGGCTGTTTAAATTATAAGATAAATGAAAAGTATTGTTTCCGGTGGTTTCATGTCAATTGCTCTTTAGTTGAAGATAAATCATAGAAATGTGATATAACCTATAATTACTGGGTAAAGATAACATCATCTTGATAGTTATACTATCACAGATAACATTATTTTAAAAAACTTGACTGATGATTTAAGAGATTAAGTGGTTTCAGTCTGATCCATTTATAGACAAACTGACGACTGTTATATATGTTTGATATCTTATAGTTAAAAGAAGTTACTTTTTCTGTGATAATTAACATCATGATCTTTATAATATCCAGCTCATTTACATCCACTATAGAAATGAAATGAAATAGACGTTAACGTCTTACTTGTCTGTGGTGCAGCACAGAACAACATCAAGTCCCTCGGTTAGGACGAAAAGCTGAGGTCCAATGTACTTGAAATTCGAAATAAGAGCCGCTGTAGAGCCGCTGCCTGGGAAAAATTTTTTTTCATAGCACATTGCATGGTGTATGACTGTCTTCGTAAGTCCGTGGTGGGTGGATGGCTGAATGGTTAACACGTGCACACTGTATTATAAGGTCTGTCATTGAGTCAACTGGCGTGGTTTCAATTCCCCAGTTGTATGTGACAAGGAGTAGGGTCTCCTGTCCAACCTTGTGGGTTTTCTCCGGGTCCTCCGGTTTCCTCCCACTGCTAAAGACCCCTACGCACAAGCGAATTATTGAAAAAAATTTAACCATGTGTTATTCCCGAAATTACCTAGTTTGTGTCGAGTGGACGTTAAACCCCATTTTTCTCTCTCTCTCTATAGAAATAAAATGATATAGACGTTAATGCCTTCTGCATTCGTCTTCTTGCTGCCTGGGCAAAATTTGACTCATAGCACACTGCATGGTATATGTCTATCTTTGTTAGTCTGTATATGGAACAGAAAAGTAGAAATTTAAATGGTAAACCTCATTTTATTTCTATAAATTGAGTATATTGAGTTATTGATAGGATGCTCGACACAGCCAGGGTATTTTTTTAATTTTCTAAATGGATATAACTTATATATTTATGGATATATTTGGAGATTATTGAATGTGTTTTGAACATGTATTTACAGAAAGGAGTTATACGAACAGCAGAAGAAGATTATATAATAGAACCAGTAGAACACCATATTATAATGGGTTTTAATATGGACAATAAACTGGGCAAACCACATCGTCTCTATAAAAGATCAACATTACAACCTCATCAGTCCAGATTTGAAGGAACCAAACACAGATATTCTGGTACGCCTTTTTAATATTTTCAATGTTTTTAGGTACCATAGATACAGTAACTTCTGTGAATGATAATATTTTGTTTCCTTAATATGGAATTATCCAGGAAGTCCTGGGTTTCATCCCTGTGTTCACCAAGAAAGTTCCTCGTGATTTTTCAGCATGGTTTCCTGTTGTTAATAATGCAGGATAAAGGGTCTGGTAAGGAGCAGCAAGGTCCTGTATTGTTTGTATGTACTTAAAAACATAGGCGTACTGGCTCAATGATTGTTGGGGGGGGGGGGAGAAAGTTCTCGAAATGCCTGAAAAAATTTGGGGCAGACAAAATGTTTTAATCCATAGTCAATTCAGTACGAATTCGTGGTATTCAATTAAAAGAAAAGTAAAATTGGTGTTTTGTTAGATTTTGGGTACAGTACTTTATTTTGCCAACTACATGTAAATGAAATAATAATTTTTGTTTTCACTTTACGAAAAGTCACTAGAATTCTCTAGTTTTTGTAAGTACCAACCCATTATATTCCAGCTATTTGTAGGTGACTACCAATGTGAGATATAAACACTGAGTTGAATAGTGGCTACTTGTATTTTTCTCTTATCCTTTAAAGTAATAAAAATCATTTCATATAGACCTGTCATGTTGAGAACAGTGTTGGATCCAACCCTCTCTTAAATAATAATAATAGTGCATGGTACATACTTCACAGTGATTGTCATATCTATCAAAATTTAATTTACTATACTGCAGCGTACTCGTAGTAAGGTTGTACATATAGCTACAAATCAGCACTGAGACCACAATTTTCAAAATTTTCTCGGATCCCCCAACCCCAACCAAATATCCAGGATTTACCACTGGTGGAGAGAAATGATATAAAAACAAAATAGTAGAGGAGGATGTTCATTCTTTGAGGAGCCCAAAATAATTTGATACTGTTTTTTGTTTTTATCAAATTTACCTAATTTTCTATCGTCTCATCTTAAAAGACCAACCCAATTCTATAAATCGTTTTTACAAGATTTTTCTCTTTTTTTCCTACTTTTTTTAATACAAAAACATTTCTTTTAGATATATATTTTTTAAAACTAAATATTATTTTTGTATTTTGTTTTTACATTACATACATATCAATTATACTTAATCTCAATTCTACATTAGTTTTTACAGGATTTCTCATTTTCTCCCTTTTTATAAAACAAAAACTTTTCTTTTAATGTGTTTTTTTTTCATCATTATAGAATGTAATCCATTTAATGCTTTTAGGGAAGGAAGTCCGTGAATTATTTTGTCTGTGAAATAAAAGTCAAGAAAACAAATGTTTCCTGTCAATTTATATATTTGATATGTTTGTGATCAACATCTTAAAAATAAAAACCAACAAAGGACAAGAATTAAATTACTATTTTATATAATTTCTGATCATATTTCAGAATACATTTCAACGTATGTTGATTGTTGTTTTCATGATATTTTAGTGGACAGATTTTAGGCCATACTTCTTAAAGGCTCAATACCACTCTTGTTGTAACTGAATAATATGTCCCAATCTTTATTCTGGTCAACAAATTGTACTATTTTAGAATATTTCAATTAATTGATGATACAAATTTCATCTTAACACACCTTATTTAAAATTTTTGAAAAATTCAACATAATGGTTTGAAACGTCTAACGTAAACCTTTTCAAATGAAACTTTGATTTAAAAATATTTTCGAACCCTCTGGACAAGTAAAATAGGATGTAATGGATAATTTACACAACAGGTAGGACACTTAAACATCTAGTACTTAGATAGAGATATTATTTATTTTCTGGAGCTTTCAAGTCAGCAAGAGTGTTATTGTCCCTTTAATGTTTGGATAATTTTGGTCTGTGCAAATTTTAAAGCTGAAATTTTTGGGAAATATTTAATTTTTCACAACTTAAAACACTCTAGTCTTAAGTTATACACAGATTTAAAGGAAGCAAGCTTCTGACTCAATATCACCCAGAGTCATTGCAAACATGTCTAGTCATTTGGATGATACGAAAAACCGAGGTCCCGTGTACACATTGGCGTGCATGTAAAAGATCCCTTGACAGTTGGAATTCGATATAAGAGTAGGCAGTAGTGCCGCTGTCCGGGCAAAATTTTCCTCATAGCACACTGTATGGCGTATGCCCGTCTTCATTAGCCCAGTTCGGAGCAAAACAGTAGGACGTAAAACCCCATTTCATTTCATTTCATTTCATTGCAAACATGACTTATTGATGAATTTAAATCAACATTGATGTCATTATCTTACCGTGAAAAGATGGGCTTCTGATATCCAATATTTAAGACACATTTAAAATTTTAAAATTGTTACACGTATCCCGTGCCAGAATGCTTTTGAGTGCCATTTGTATTGAAGTGACTCGATGAACAACGCTAAACATATTCCACAGAAGAATACTACCGATGCTATTGAGTTAAAGACTTGCCTCCTTTAAATAAATATTTTTAAATCTATGCTCATTCATTGAGGCACACATATTTCCCCAAACCCAAACCCACTACCTATCTTCGGGAATTTTTTTTTTTTTTTAAGCTAAAATATTCTGGTCATCTGGTCATCTGGTCTGCTTAAAATGGACGGTTTCAACTCAATTTAAGCACAAACATTTTTTGGGGAGTTCCGGGCAAGGAACAGGGTCTAGTAGTTCAGATGGGATGAAAAACTGAGATCCTGCATACACATGGAATTGCATATCAAAGAACTCTTTGATGGTTGGAATTCAAAACAAGAGTTGGCCAGTGTGCTACTTCATATTGACACTGAGCAAAATTTTCCTCATTGCACACTGCATGGTGCATGTCTGTCTATGTATTAGCCTGGTTGGCAGGCGCTTAATCCCCCCTGTGAAAAAGTTTTCGCCATAAAAAAATTGATATACTTTGTCCGTCAATTTTACAGCACCCTGAAAGCACTTCTCGCCACCCTGGTTGCTCTGAGCTAGTTACGGCCCTGCTGGTTGGTGGCAAATACCAGGGTGTTAAACCTCATTTCATCTAATTTTAAATTGGTTAATAGAAAACTGATACATCTTATGTTTTGTTTAATTGATGACAATCTTACAACATGTATATTTTTTAAACTTGTTATTTATCTGATAAGCTGTGGGTCATGTATACACAATGTAATATAACATTTACATAGATCTGTTTATATAAACTATATTATAATCTACAAATCTCCTTCAAGACATTCATATAATGTCAATCATAATGTCGACATTCAAAACGATAACATTTATCCCCACTTGAATGATTTGTTGATGTAACTTTTACATGTACAAGTTATCTACCCTGCCATTTTCGAGTCATGTCGTTCAATACCTAGGGGGTACGAACATAGATATATCATGATATGTAGACAAAAAATACCACTAGGAAATAAGCAGGCATTTACTTCTAACAGTGAAAATATCTTCCGGGGGATTTTAAGGATTAATTTTCAGTCATAAAGAAGAAAGAACATTGTTTGAAAGCTTTCTAGTTGATAAGACAGTGCTTGTTACATCTGAAGGTTAACAGTTTAAAGCCACTGATCGTCATTTCATTTTTCAGATAATATTTAATTTATCACTCTCGAAATGCACTCAAACTGCTTATTTGACATTTAATTGAACTGAATTGGTTTTAATTCCCTGTTTGAATGTGACAAGGAGTAGGGTCGCCTCTCCAACCTTGTGGATTTTCTCTGGGTCCTCCGGTTTCCTCCCACTGCTAAAAATCCCTACGCGCAAGCGAATTAATGAAATAAAATTGAATCATGTGTTAGTCCCAAAATTACCTAGTTTGTGTGGCGTGGACATTAAACCCCATTTTTCTCTTAATACACTAAGATTGATTATTTAAAATTTAAGTAAGAAAACAGAAACCAAAACATCAATGGCAGATAATCTCATGGCTGGGATTAAACCAGATTAAAAAGAGGCCCATCAAAAGATTTTACCCAATTTCTAATTCATCATATCTATGTAAATACTGGAGCAAATTGAACCCTACGTAGGTTGATTTTCCTTTTGCTGTGTATTCAAATCCTTCTTGTCTGTGATATCACCTCGGTGGAAGGGGACGTTAAAAAAGCTATTTCAGGCACATACACAATGAAATGAAATGAAATGGGGTTTAACGTCCTACTGTTCTGCTCCGAACTGGGCTAATGAAGACGGGCATATGCCATACAGTGTGCTATGAGGGAAATTTTGCCCGGACAGCGGCACTACAACCTACACTTATATCCTCTTCCAACTGTCAAGGGATCTTTTACCTGCACGCCTATATGTACACGGGACCTCGGTTTTTCATCCCATCCAAATGACTAGACAGCTGTCCTGGTCAGGCCCACCGTCCTGCATCAATGACAAGGGGGAAACCACGCCAGTGGCACATACACAAATCCTTCAAAAAACGCTGAACTACTTTAAAAGAATGCTATATAAAGATTATTGGTAATAAAGATATATAGCCTAAGAAAATTAAATTATATGCACTTATAATAAGTTGTACTATATTTCTACATGTATTTTTTTTTACTAAGTAGTTATTACAGATAGATAAGATTTATGTACCACTTTTGTTTTTAATGTCAAGTTGTATTTACCCTATAACTGAGTTTCTGTTTCACTCTGTTTTAAAACTTGAGGGGGGTTGGGTGGTCTAGTGATGTCATTGGGTCAAGTGACGTGGTTTCGATTCACTGCTTGTACATGGCAAGGAGTAGGGTCGCCTGTCCAACATCATGGGTTTTCTCTGATTTCCTCGCACTGCTAAAGACCCCTACACGCAAGCGAATTATTGAAATGAAATTGAACCCTATGTTAGCCCCGAAATTACTTAGTTGGACCTCATTTCTCTCTCTATTTTAAAACTCTAATTCAAATAGATGTGATACACATAAAAAAGTCTTTTCAAATATTTCGTTAATTTCTGTTTAATTAGGAAAATCTAGACTACTGTCCCTCAGAAAGAAGCTACATGAAAATTAATTTGATAAATTGGAACTATTAATATAATCTAGGTTAATTAATATATTGATACCATAACTCCAGATATGATGGATTAAACTGGTTTCCAGTTATCAGTATAGACTACAACTGTGTTCATTGTGACCTTGTTCTGTTTTATTTAACCCTTTTACCTTCAGACGTTCCATATGAAACGTTAATCAGGAGGCCATTTTGCAGATCATGAAGTAAAAATAACAAAAAATGTTAAATATTTTATACCACTGAATAGAGGAATTCACAATCTTTCCACAAATATATACATTTGTATGATTTATTCTTAAATTTAAAGAATTACAGGATATATTCTTAACTATTTACGGGGGTGGGGGGATGGCCAAATGGTTAGCATGTGTGCGCTGTATCATAAGGTCTGTCATTGAGTCATCTGGCGTGGTTTCGATTCCCCGGTTGTACATGACAAGGGGTTGCCTGTCCAACCTCATGGGTTTTCTCCGGGTCCTCCGGTTTCCTCACACTGCTAAAGACCCCTAACCGCAAGCAAATTATTGAAATAAAATTGTACCATATGTTAGTCCCGAAATCACCTAGTATGTATCGAGTGGACGTTAAACCCCCTCTCTCTCTCTTAACTAGATGCTTTTCCTAGTTAAAACCCCCAAACAATCCGACAGTTAAAGGGTTAAAGGAATTTTTAATCAATTATTGTCCTTCCTGCCAGTTAAAAACATCTTACAAAAACTGGCTAATGATACCCTCAACAAATGTCAAAAGGTGGTGAACGCATGTTTGTCTCGACTGCCCTCATCATATACATCTCTTTAACATAAAGAGTTAAGATAAAAGTATACATTTAAAAAATACAACTTTTTCGACTGTTATATTAAAATGACTTTCTTGTGACATTGTAATTTGCACCTATGAGCATCCACCTGGTGGAATTCTAAAGCTATATTAGGATGAATAATATTATTAATAGTAATAGGAAAAGTATTAATATTATCATCATTGTCATCATTCTTATCATAAAAACCCAAAGCAAAAGAGAGAGAGAAATGGGGTTTAATGTCCATTCGACACAAACTAGGTCATTTTGGGACTAACACATGGCTCAATTTTATTTGAATAATTCGCTTAGGGATATTTTGCAGCTGGAGGAAACCAGAGAAAACCCACGAAATTAGACAGGCGATCCTACTCCTTGTCACGTACAACCGATGAATTGAAACCACAGCAGTTGACTCAATACAGACCTTATGATACAGCATGTACGTGCTAACCATTCGGCCATCCACCCCCCCACCCCACCCCAAAGCAAAAACTCCAAAACTAAACAAAACCTCCAATGATCATTAATTTGGTTAATATAGTGTGGTATATTAATTGATGAATTTAATTCTTTTGAGGTAGATTTAGGAGAAAATCCATACACAGATCCAGTTCACAGAGAAAAACGATCTTCATTTAAATGGATTCAAAAAGAGAATAAAGAACCAAAAACTGTGGAAACTCTGGTTGTTGTGGATAAGACCATGTTCCATCGTCACGGTGATTCTAATATAACCACATACACACTCACATTATTTAATATGGTAAGGTTTTATTACACAGTTTTTAAATTTTGGCTAATTTCGATAGATACTATTAATTTCTGTAGTTTTTATTTGTTGCAACATGAATATTAAAATAAAAGTTGTAAGCTATTACGGTCCTTTTGCATGAAAACTTAAACTAAATAGTTCTAAGGATTAAGCATTTTTATAGGCTGAACTCTTAGCCAATGAAAAGACTGCATTCTAAATATAGTTGGATTTAAGTTTTCTTGAATAAGGTCCCCAGTTTATTTACAAAATTCTTTTAATTAGGCGTATATTTTTGTCTGCAGGTGTCTAAATTATTTCAAGATAGTAGTCTTGGTAACAGTATAAATATAGTGCTTGTTGGACTTATTCTATTAGAGGGTGATGAGGTAAGTTTGAATTTCTTTAGAATTGAAATTTGTGGTCTAAGGGGAGACAACTATCGTATAGATTTACAGGAAGGCACCCACATTTAATTAATCATATTTGCAAGACATTGTGTATCTATCTATATGATATCAACAATAACAATAATACATGGATGAATTGAATCCTTTAAACACTACAAGTGAATTGCACATTTATGTGTATGGATATTTGTGTCAATTTGTGCTACTAATTTTATTTTAATGCTGCTTATTTAAGGGGAGACAACTCTTGATTAATTACAGGAAGACAGCCACATTTAATATAAATTTTTGTTTTAATTGTGTATATGAAAATCGCTTCATTACCATCTTGAAATCTACTACGTTATATTTTTACCCCATGGTGCTACACAGGGTCTAGTCGCTGCTCGCATTCTCTTCTTCATTCTTGGTTTGTCACTGGAATCTGTTCATGATTGCTAGTAATCACTGGATTATTCTAGACGTAGTTGAAGTGGTTTGTAATAAACACGCCTTTGAAATTGTAAATTATATTCCCAATTGCATAACTATAGATCATTAGACGAGGACTGCACCACAGATAAACAAACAGACATTTTAAAAACAAATCCGCAGCCACACAGATATTGCAAGTAATAAAATATTAATCATACAATCAAGTGAATGGATCCAAGTTAATGTTGTTTATTTTATTTTTTTGCTTTATTTCAGCCGGGTCTGACCATTTCTAATCATGCTGATAAAACATTGAATAGTTTTTGTTCATGGCAGTCGGTGTTAATTGGAGCTAATGGAAGACAACATGATCATGCTATATTACTCACTGGTCTTGATCTGTGTTCTTATAAAAATGCACCCTGTGATACTTTAGGTATGTAGTTAGATATCTAATAATAAGATAAATATTAGGTTAACCTTTTAACACATGGATGGCACTAAACTACTGTTCCTGCAAGCGCCTCAAACTACCTGAGTTGTGTGAACACTTCTGGAGGGTAAACTGTTTCTATGACTAGGCTACTAAAGGGTTCATGTTAATTAAAAATTTATTGCCAGCTCAATCAATATGGTGCCAACATTATAAACTACATTATAAACCTCACCTCCACATTTATCAAATACAATGCTTGAAAACTCTAATTCTTAAAATGGTTGACTACCCAGAAAACTTTTGTTTATGCCAGGTTCCGACTGTCGTGCGATGCGTTACGATATCATTGTCCCGATTGAATCCTTGATCTGCTATTTGCACATATGTTTGGACATGTTTCGATACGGTGAACACGATTGCTACGACTGACCTCAATATGATAAGACCTTATAAGATCACCACGATTACTCCACGATTAAAATCACAATTTCAATCATAGTACGAATTGTGATAGTTGGAGCCTAACATTACAATATATCATAAGGAGATATTTAGAATAGGCATTATACCAGAGCTTAAACTGTTAAAATTTCTTAATTAGTATGAATATTCAACATAAAGTGTGGTTGATTATACAAATTATTCTGTCTTCCATAGACTCATTCCAAGGTTAATAAAACTGTTTTGTATTTTTATTTCTAGGTTTTGCACCAATTGAAGGAATGTGTAATCGAATAAGAAGTTGTACAATAAATGAAGACACAGGTTTAGCTACGGCCCTAACAATAGCACATGAAATGGGTCACAAGTAAGTTGTCCAACCAGTCTGACTAAACTGCCAATAATCCATCAGTCTGACTAGTGCAATCCACGTCCGACTGACTGCTCATAGTAAGACTAATATAACTATATGATTACATGCTTTCATCTTGGCTCGCTAGCCTGGAGGTCCTGTGTTCGAGCTTGGCATACACGTAAAAGAACCCTTGACAGTTAGAATAGTCCATAGCGCTGCTGTCGGGGCAAAATTTCAATCATGAACAAGATTACAAATCATAGCACTCTGCATGGCATATAGGCTACCCGTCTTCATTAGCCCTGACGGAGCAGAACAATTGGATGTTAAACCCGGGTTTCATTTCATTTTCACTTTCACTTGAAGTCGCTGACCATTATTTACATTTGTTGGAATATATCTAATTTTTCATGGTTTAATCCATGGTAAAATGTAATCAAATTTATTATTTATCATAGAAAACAAAATCCACAATACCAACGATGAATAATCTCCCACCTTGGATTTTATTAGATTGGAAAGATAGCTTGTTTATATCGTCTTGCCAAATATTATGAAATTTTGAATTCATCACAATGGAATTCAACCATTTTCAGTCTGATATTTCTTAAAGAGATTCAACATTAACAATGTTGTAGTTTGCTAGGGATTCTTTAAACTCCCTCAAGTGAAAACACACAAATGACTCGGATCATTTGGACTAGGATTCTTTTCAACAAAATGAGTACTAGCAAATTTTTATTCAAAATGTTGCTGAATAATAAAAATTAATTGGATTCCATAATATTGTCTCCTGTGTATTTCTAGTTCATTTAAAAAAAATCATTTCATAGTTAAAGCTATCCATGAAAACCGAATTTATGAAATGAGTTATCTCCCATTAGTCTTCATAATGATTGGTATTCTGTTAAAACCTGTGCTCCTTATATAATATATTAGCTATTCAGTGTATAATATATTTAACTTATCAGTATAAAGGTAAAAATATGGTCAAAATTATTGTTTTTATTGATTATTTTATTTTATATCTTCGTGTATGTAAAATAGTAAGATATTAACCCAAACTATCCATGATTAAAGAGTTACCTCCCATTAATCTCCATCTGGTCTGTGCACATATGACTACTGTATCATTTGAAATCTTTATCAGTTTGGCTCTCATTCACTAACTGGGAGATCGGGCCCCGAGTTCACAAAGCATTCTTAGACTTAAGTTAAAGATTTACTAAAACTTGTTCGCCTTATTTTAACTAAACTATATAGAGAATCTCCTACAAGTCTTTTTTGATATCAAAATATATCAATAAGAAACTATGTGCAAAGTTTTGTGTTTCTGAATCAAAGATATTTCTCATAAACAGTGATTGAAAGTTGAGAAAATTTCTTAACTTTAGTCTGAGTGTCTGAGAATGTTTTTTTAAACTCAGGGCCTTATCTTGATCCTGGGATTGGCCAAGATTTTCCAGTCTAGTTTCCCCTTGTCAGTGTTACAGGCATGGCAAAGAAAAGTGTCTAGTTGTTTGCATGGTATGAAAAATAAACATATTGTTCATACCATCAGCAGCATGTTATGTCGCTGCATCATGTATGTCAATCTTCATTAGCTGATCGTAGGTACAGAAAAATAAGATGTTAAATCCTATTTCATTTGTTTTCAGTATTGGTATGTTCCATGATGGTGAGAGTAATTATTGCCAGCAATCGGCAGGATCTATTATGTCACCAACGTTGATGGGTAAAGATGGTAAATTTAGTTGGTCAGTTTGCAGTAAAGCTTATTTAATGAGATTTTTGAAGTAAGTTTAGAAGATTATATTAATATTAAAATCCAACAAAATTCAGTTTCAATATGTGAACTTGCCATAAGCTACTAAACCTGGAAATTGTATGTATAAAACAATTTTCACACTATTTTAAGTTAATAAACACAAATTTTCTTTTACTTGACACATTTGTTAGCAATGGCAACCTATATTTTGTGTTTATATCAGATTTTTTAATTTTGTTTCTACTTTGTTTTGATATTAGATGTTTATATTTTGTTTTTAACGGATGTTTATATTTTGTTTTTATATCGGATGTTTATATTTTGTTTTTATATCGGGTGTTTATATTTTTATATTGGATGTTTATATTTTAGTACACCACAAGCTGATTGTTTACAAGATAAACCAAAACATGTGGCCGAGTTAAAATTTCCTGATAAGTTACCTGGTGAATTATATAATGCTGATACACAGTGTAAATGGCAGTTTGGTAACAGAGCACGCTTGTGTACTTATGATTTTGGGAAGGTGAATATAAATAAAATGTTTTATATATACAATTAATTGGTCTACAATCAAATGAGTGTTTACCGACTTTAGTAATGATGATCGAGGCTAGGCCGAAAATTCAATCGCTAAAATCTCAGTTCAGAGTGGATCAATTTGACTGAAATTTTCAGCAAATTCCCTTTACATTATCTAGTTTTTATCTATTATAGTGAGAACTGTCAGCTCTTTATCTAATCTCCCATAATGTATCTTTAATTTGGTATGGAATAGAGTTTAATGTCTCATCAAGACAATACATTTGTTAATTTGAGAGGATATATGCTAATTTTTGTTCTATGAGAGATAGAGAAATGGGGTTTAACGTCCACTCGACACAAACTAGGTCATTTAAGGACTATCATATGGTTCAATTTTATTTTGATAATTCACTTGCGCGTAGAAGTGTTTAGCAGTGAGGAAACTGGAGAACCATGAGAAAACCGACAAGGTTGGACAGGCAACCTTACTCCTTGTCACGTACAACTGGGGAATCGAAACCATGCCACTTGACTCAATGACAGACCTTATGATAAAACGCGCACCACGCGCTAACCATTCAGCCATCCAAACCCCCTTTGTGTTCTATGATCTTCTGGACAGATCTTGGATGTAAATGTTGCCGGGTAGACATGTGGGTGCTTCCTTTTCTTCGATATTTGAGCTGTCAGTATTTCTTTTATGTGGACGCTTATGTGTAGATGGGTGGACCTCAGCCCTAGAACATTACCCCTGAGAAGTGGGAACCAGGTGTTCATAGCATGTTTGTAAATCATTATGGTGTTTCCATGGAAATATTATATTATATTTTTATTTAGCATGTTTGTTAATCATTATGGTGTTTCCATGGTAATAAAAAATTATATTTTTATTTAGGATATTTGTAAAGCCTTATGGTGTTTCAACGGTAAAACCATATTATCTTTTTATTCAGGATATTTGTAAAGCATTATGGTGTTTTCGAGGTAATAAAAGATGTGAAACTAAGTTTTTACCAGCAGCAGAAGGAACATCATGCGGTTCGGGTATGGTAGGTAGGCAAAATTCAAAGCCTTAATGTTTTTCTTTTCTTACTTTTTATTTTCTCTAAAAAAAAATTTATTTATTATTATTTATTAAAATATTTTTGATTTTAGAAAATGTACTCTCAATGTTTGTAAATTCAGAGATGTTTGAATGTTTTTAAAAAACAATGGTATATTTTCCAGTAGTATTTAGATATAAGTACTAGTAAATAACCAATATGTTTGTCTTCTATATAGTGCCACATTATGTCCAAAAGTCATTTCTAAGTGTTTTACAAAAGTTTCACAGTGTTCTCATACAAATATTTAGATTTGAAATAAGTACAAAAATTTGTTAAGTTTTCAACATTGTCTTGAAACCAGTGAATGTTCCATTTTCCCAAATGTCTTCATCAAAAGCTATTATATCGAAATAAAAGAGATATATAATAGTAAAGAATGTTATATGTATTGTTTAATAGTCTCGAGCTTAAGACATTGCGTAATATATTGAAACAACATGAAGGACGTAGTCCAAAGCTGTTCTTTCAATATATTATTCAATGTCTTAAGCTCGAGACCATTAAACATCTTAAAATACAGACGCTCGCACGTGCTTTTACAGTGAAATACGTCACACGAGTCCAATATTTCACTAGTATAAATAATGTACGATTGGCAAGTTGCCCGTACGATTATTTGACATAATGGTATGCCAACATCAAAGGTGACGTCACATCTGTATTCTAAATTATATTATAGTGGTGTCGTGAACGTAGTTGTGTTATGTTTAATAAAGAATGTATATATTATATTATAGTGGTGTCGTGAACGTAGTTGTGTTATGTTTAGTAAAGAATGTATATATTATATTTTAATGATGTCGTGAAAGTAGTTGTGTTATGTTTAATAAAGAATGTATATATTATATTATAGTAGTGTTGTGAAGGCAGTTGTGTTATGTTTAGTAAAGAATGTATATATTGTATTTTAGTGATGTCATGAACGTAGTTGTGTTGTGTTTAGTAAGGAATGTATATTATATTTTAGTGATGTCGTGAACGTAGTTGTATTATGTTTAATAAAGAATGTATATATTATATTTTAGTGGTGTCGTGAAGGCAGTTGTGTTAAATATGGTAAAGAAGGACCAATAGCTGTTAATGGAGGTTGGTCAGAATGGACAAACTGGACAGCGTGTACAAGACCATGTGATCAGGGTGTCATGACCAGAGATAGAGAGTGTAATAATCCACTGTAAGAATTCTCAATATTCTTCTTTACGATATTAGTATACAGAATAACTGAATAAATCATGTTCATTATCCTCCACCAAACTAATTTAAAGGAGGGTTATTGAAATGAACTCCATTCTTCCCCCCATCTTTTCTTTTCAGAGTATATTCATAAACTCTTCAAAATATCTATGAAACCTTGTACACAAATCAACCTATTAGAGTGGTTGTGCCTTTTGCTTATTAGACATTTTTTCTATTTTTTTCTGTTTCCATGGAAACAAATTTATAATATCTCCACATTTTTACATTCAGGCTCTTGTTACATGGAAAATCTCTTTCTAAAATAACATTAAACTGTGGCTACCTATTATGCCTAAAATATATTTTTAGGATAGGATGGATAATCAAGATCCCATGTACCCATTGGCATGCACATGATAGAACCCATGACAGTTGGAAATTGAAATAAATGTGAGGCCGTAGTGCAAATGTCTGGGCAAAATTTTCCTCATAGCACACTGCATGGCATATGCCTGTCTTCATTAGGCCAATCGGTTCAGAACAGTAGGACGTTAAACCCCATTTCATTTCTATCGCGTTCATATTGATATAAGGGAGGTAATCAAACAAATAATAGTTTTGTAATATTTTGATATTTATGTGCGAGACATTAAGTAATATATTGATATTGCACGAGTGCGCTAGCATGAGTGCTATATCTATATATTACGCAAAGTCTTGCACGAGACTATTAAACACCTTAAAATACAGACACTATCCAGCATGTGCATTTCAATGAAATACGTCACACGGGTCTAATATTTCAACTAGTATAAATAATGTACGCTTGACACATTGCCCATACCATTATTTGAAATAATGGTACGCCAACATCAAAGTATGACATCACATCTGTATTTTAATATATTTGATAGACCTCAGTATGGTGGTAAAACATGTCCTGATAAAGGTAAAGAAGTTCAACTCTGTAATACACAGGTAAGACCTATATCTTTTTAAATAATAGTGATTCAGTACATCACATACCTTATAAGTAACTCATGTTCAAACTGTTATAACTTCGTTATTTTCTAAAAATATTCTGCTTCTCAGATACTTTTTTTTGTGTGGCCTTATAACTTCTTTAATAGGCATTTAATTAGTAACTGAAAACTTTCCAAAGTTTTGAATAGGACACTCTAATCTTTATCAATTCACAATGTCAATCTGTGTCAGTTTTTAAATCCAAAGTAAAAACTTGGTTATTTAGTCACTATCATTAACACTCCAAAGTGAGAACATTTTCTAGCGCCTAGTGCATTCCCTAGTGGATTGAATAGTTACGAGATACAAATATTATTATTATTATTGTTATTATTATTCTAATTATAATATTTGGATGGTAGACAAATATATACAGAATATGTTATTGTTGTTGCAACCACTAAATACCTATCAAAGAAGTCATTGCAACAACAATAAGGTATTTTGTATATATAGAGAATCTCCTACCAGTCTTTTTTGATATCAAAAAATATCAACACAACGGGTGTTGATATTTTTTGATATCAAAAAAGACGAGTAGGAGAGTTTATTTATCACCCAAACACTTCTTACATGCACAAATAGATAATTATAATTCTTTGCTATAGATTTCACTTTTACTGAACATTACGGCGTAGTGATACATCATTTTTTGACAGCAATTCAACCATTGCAAAGTCCTTTATATTGGCCCAGTGTTTCCATCAAGGTCAATTGAATAACAATAGTTCATTTTAAAAAAAAAAAGTTACTTTTTATAAGAAATAAACTGTTCTTTGAAATTAAAAAAAGTAGTCCCGTTTCAACTGACCAATCAAATTCATGTAAAGTGATATCTCCTAAGGAGATGTCGCAGTAGATTATGAAATATATCACACAAGCGATATCTACTGTAGAATGTATTATTGGGTGATATATATATTTGTCTACTGTTCACATATTTGTATCATTTGCTTGATAAAGATGAGAGTATCCTATTCAAAACTTTGGAAAGTGATAAACTCAGTGATTGTTTATTCAATAAAATGTACCTTGTTTTGTATCTTGTATTTATTTAGAAATGTAGTAAAAAGGAAGATTTCCATGCTAAACAGTGTTCGTTGTATAATAAGAAACCGTTCCGTGGATGGCAGTTACGGTGGAAACCACACAAGAAAGTTTTAAACAGTAAGATCTTAGACGAAAAATTTAATTTGATTAAAAATCATGTTGATAGTTAAGTTAGTTTAACTTGATTGTACTCTTGGTACATGTAAATAATGTTCAACCCAGTTCTCTGAAAATAACAAGAGAAATGTGATCTTACTGCTAAAGCATTAATTATGTTTGTCGGCTAAATAACATGGCTTGAATTCGTAGTGTGTGTATATATGCAAAACCAACTTTATATCCATAAACTGTCAATGGTGATCCATGTAAACTTTTTTAGTTATATATTACGGATGGTAATCCATGTAAACTGTTTACAATGTTAGTTATATATTACAAATGGTGATCCATATAAACTGTTTTTACAATGTTAGTTATATATTACGGATGGTGATCCACGTAAACTGTTTTACAATATCATGTTATATATTACATATTACAGATGGTGATCCATGTAAACTGTTTTACAATATCATGTTATGTCTATTACAGATGGTGATCCATGTAAATTGTTTGCAATGTCATGTTATATATATTACTGATGGTGATTCATATAAACTGTTTTACAATATCATGTTATATATTACATATGGTGATCCATGTAAATTGTTTACAATGTCATGTTATATATATTACAGATGGTGATCCATGTAAACTGTTTTGTATGGCTGAAACATTTAATTACGTTTTTACGATAAAACATCCGGCTGTTGATGGAACACCATGTGGTGAAAAAGATAATAAAATTTGTATCAGTGGTGCTTGTAAGGTAGGCTTTGTTTATTAAATCATTTTATCAAAAAAAAAAAACCACACAATGATCTCACCAGTTGTTAAGCGAGAATTTAACATGATTTTAATTGTCTCAAGGTTAGCATTGTGGCACAAAGATTTTAAGCAACACTTATGTCGTCTGCAGAGGATGTTGAATGCGTCTATACTATATACCGAAAAACACCGGAAAACAACCAGAAAACACTGGAAAACTACCGGAAAACACCATGTTATACTGAATACTGGAAAACACTGAAAAATACTAAATACCAGAATACACACTAAATACCGGAAAACACCATTTTTAGAATGATCCAACTTTCAGGAAAATTGTAGTTTGCAAGGGATTTAAAATCACTGAAATGCTGACCAGTAGCTTTAATGTAGACATTTATTTAGATTAAAATCAATATTTTCAGATGGTAGGTTGTGATAATGAAATTGGTTCAACAGCTGAGAAGGATAGATGTGGTGTATGTAAGGGAAATAATTCAACATGTAAATTAGTCTCCGGCCAATATACTCAACAACCAACTTTAAATAGTAAGCTTACCTCTTTGTTTCCATGAGTGCTGCAGTAGTTGAGTGATCAGGGCACTGGACGCTTGACTGAAATGTCAGAGGCTTGAAACTCGGCATGAGTTGAGAAGAACCTACAGATTTATCCAGCCTGGTTCCAACATGTCATGGGTAACACCTGAAGAACTGACAAGAAAAATGTTGCAGAGTCATTTGGATGGGATGTTAAGCAGAGGTTCACCCATGTACTCGAAAGAACCCTTTACAGTTAGAATTAGATAAAGAATAGACAGAAACACCACTGTCTGGGCTAATTTCTCCTCCCTAGCAATGCATTTGTGACCATAGAAAAAAATGACAGTATATGTTAGACTCAAAATGCTTGAAGTATTATGTTGACAAGATATTGAACCCTATTCCATTCCATTCCATTAATTCATTAGTAATTAAGAAGACATTTTTTGTATCTCTTGAGAAACATTATACTTCACGTCTATGGAAGGGGTCAGAGTGAATTGGAATTATTAAGTAGAGCTTATTAAAATAGTTGTTCTCTGTTTGGCATTATTATTTATTTTTATATGGTAACAAGTAGTGACTAATTAAAGTAAAATATTTAATGTATAATTTTTCAGCTTATTTCCCAATTGTTGTCCTACCAAAAGGTGCACGTCATATACTCATCAACGAAAATAAAATATCATCAAACTATCTGTCCATTAGAAATATATATGGTAGATATTATTTAAACGGTGATCGTAGAGTAGCATGGCCGGGAAGATATAAGTTAGGGGGAGCATTGTTTGAATATGACCGACCATATAATGATCCTGAAACTCTGGTATCAGAAGGACCATTAGAAGAAGATTTGATAGTAGAGGTAAGATGTAATACAAATTTTAATAGTAAAGATTTTGATATAATGCATAAATTTAAATAAATACATAAATTTTAAATGTAGAGTTCTGATATAGATTTTAATAGTAGATGTGTGATTTAATATAAATTTTTATAGTGGGGGCATAATTTCATATATAATTCTATAGTAAAAGTATGATTTAATACAAGTTTTAATAGTAGAGGCTTGGTTTAATTAAAATTTTAATATGAGAAATGATTTAATATAATTTTTAATAGGAGAGGTATGATTTGATATAAATTTAATAGTAAAGGTATGATTTAATGTAAATTTTAATAGGAGAGGATGATTTGATATAAATTTAATAGTAAAGGTATGATTTAATATAAATTTTAATAGAAGTATTATTCGATATAAATTTAATAGTAAAGGTATGATTTAATATCAATTTTGATAGTAAAAGTATGATTTATTTCAATTTTAATAGTAAAGATATGATTTAAGATACGTTTTAATATGATTTAAGATGAGTTTAAAATATTTGAACCCTGGGTATTTTTATACGACCTGTACCTTATGATTTGATATGAAACTTTTAATGGTAGAGATATGATTTAAGATAAGTGTTAATAAAGGTATGATTTAAGATAAGTTTTAATAAAGTATGATTTGATATGAAAGAATGCAATCTATGTGTGGTTACAAGGTACGAATGTGAGATATTATATAAAATATTGATAACAAATTAAAATACTGAAACATGATCATGCACAAGAAGTTCTATGATATTTTCCACCATGTTGTATAAATAATGTATTATATGCAAAGTGACTGTACTATTATTTCACTTGACATCACACCTGTATTTTGATATATTTGTAGATGTTAGTACAGGATCACAATCCAGGTGTTAGTTATCAGTATACAATACCACAACGTGATATGAGATTAAAACAGACAATACCTACAGCTACATATAAATGGAGTGTATCCTCTACACCTTGTAGTGAACCTTGTGCTGGAGGTACGTAAATACACAAATAAACTCTTTTATAAATGTTTACCTTCGTTAACTGTATTAACGTTTATTGTTGTCTATTAGAAAGTTGTATGTATGCATGGTTAAGGAGGGCAGAGGGCCTGGAAAGGAACAATGTCTATTCATTCGGATGGGATAAAAAAAAAAACCTTTGTTAAGTGTATTGTTGTCTACTAGAGAGGTGTATATATGTATGATTAAGGAGGACAGTGTCTATTCATTCGGATGGGACAAAAATAACCCTGAGGTCCTGTGTACACATTGACAGTTGGAATACAATTGCTGTCCAGACAAAATTTGCATTAGCATTATCACACTGCATTAGCCCTTCACTAGCCCCTTTGATGCAGAAAAGTAGGAGGTTGAAGTTGAACCCTATTTCATTTTATACATTGCTTGGGTAAATGAGGGAGCGAATCTACCAGTAAGCAGGTAGGTAACAAAATTAATGGGGAGCCACAGTCGCATGGTGAATGTTGCGCTGGCTCACTATGGAGGAGGCCCGGATTTTTATCCTGGTGTTTGCCAAGACAATTTCTCTGGATTTTCCAGCATGGGTTCCTCTTGTTAGTAATGGCAAGAGACAGCATCTAGTGGTTTGAATGCAGTGTATACCATTGGGAGTGACATTTAATATCTCCCAACAATCATAGATTAAAGCAGGCCATAGCAAAAAAATTTTTTCATAACACACTCTATTGTGTAGGTCCATCTTCATTAGCTCATTTCATGTCATTTATTATCTTAGAAAGCACATGGTTTGTTAATAGTACGTTGATATTTATTTATGGTTTGTTGAAAGCACATGGTTTGTTAATAATATAGTGATATTTATTTATGGTTTGTTATATAAGAAGGACACATGGTTTGTTAATAATACTGTGATATTTATTTGTGGTTTGTTATATAGGAAGGACACATGGTTTGTTAATATTACAGTGATATTTATTTGTGGTTTGTTATATAGGAAGGACACATGGTTTGTTAATAATACTGTGATATTTATTTGTGGTTTGTTATATAGGAAGGACACATGGTTTGTTAATATACTGTAGTACAGTGATATTTATTTATGGTTTGTTATATAGAAAAGCACATGGTTTGTTAATAATACAGTGATATATATTTGTTATATAGGAAAGAAGACAGTAAGTGTTGTTTGTCATCGTGACTCACAACAGGAAGTTGACGCATCTTTCTGTAAAAATGAAAAGAAACCAGATGTTGGAGTCCAGCGTTGTAATACAACTCCGTGTCCTCCCAGGTCAGTTAGTATAAAAAGTTTTCGATCAAAATATTTAATAACTGTGGCAAAAGAATCAATTAGACATTGAGTATAAAATGGTTAAAGTGACTGATCATCATTTGCTTTTTTGGAAAACAATGTTGACAAATTTTCAATTCATCATAACTTTGTAAAAACAGAATGAAATTGATACATTTATGGATACATTTCATTTAGAGATTCAATTTTCCCAATATTATATTCCACAATCCTTCATCATTCTGATTAAAATACAGATCTATATTTCGTTTTTTTTAATACTTTTTTATATGAGCGACTTTTGACCCTATGACATCAGACATTTGATTAACCAATCAGCATTGATGTTACTAGTGGATTACACACAGTTCCGTGCAAAACACGCCTACAGCTCGCCGTAACAGACCATTTCATTGGCTAATACCTCACACCATTCAGAACACGTCAATGATAACAACTCTTCCAGATCCCAGTGTAGTAAAGACAAGTAAAACGAAATTTTGAACTATAAAAACGAAACGAAATAGGGTCTGTGTTTTAATCAGATTGAATCCTTCATAGGATGATCAGAGACCGGAGTTGAAAGTCAGATATAGCAAGGCAACTTTTTAAGCTAAACTTTGTGATGAATACTTGTAGGTGGTTACCAGGAGAATGGCAGTCTTGCACCAAATCTTGTGGTGGTGGAAAACAGTTACGCAAAATAACCTGCAAACAAAAAATTACCTCAAATAAAGATAGAAAATTAAGAAAGAAATACTGTAAACATTTACCAAAACCAGCCAAGAGAAGAATCTGTGGTACACAGCGATGTCCATCTGTATGGCATGTTGGCAAATGGTCAAAGGTAAATAAAATATTTTCCACTGTCTGCTGATTAAAGATGCATTATGTAAGAGCTAAATGTAAGATGTGATATAACATTTTTATTCATTCATCCACCCAATACAATAATTGAACATTAAAATGGATAATTGAGATTTTGTTTATTATCATAGCAATGGTATTTCTTGCGCTATTTCTTGACAAACATTCAAACAAACAAAGTAATTTGACTTAGATTTTCAATATATTCATTTTTGTTACATAATACATCTTTAATAAATATATGTGAATATGTACTTTTGTAAATGGTAAGGTTGTGTATTACAGTTATCTTGAGGGGGGTTGGGATGGCCTAGTGGTCTAGAGTGATGCACTTCGACCTCTAGCTGGCCAGTCACCTCTGGCTTGCAGTTGTGGTTTCGATCCCTGGTGTGAGCGTAAGTGGCTTGGAGATAGGGACGCCTTCTCAAACTCGGTGGTTTACTCCGGTAATCCGGTTTCCTCCCACAGGAAAGCCGCCTGCGCTTGCGCTAAGATAATAAAAAAAATGAAAATAAGACAACTTGTCTGGGATAATCACCTTCAGTGGAAGCGGACATTAAAGATACATTATGGGAGATTAGATAAAGGGCTGGCAGTTCTCACTATAATAGTTAAAAACTAGATAATGTAAAGGCAATTTGCTGAAAATTTCATTCAAATCGATCCACTATGAACCAAGAATTAAGAGATTGAAATTTCGGCCTAGTCTTGATATCATCTTTACTAAAGTCGGTACGATAAAAAAACATAGTCTTGATTATCCATTTCATGATTAAATCATGAATTAAAGTTGAGCAGCAAATTGGATCATAATCTAGTAATTATCACAGGCTAGCGATGACATCAAAGTCGATTATGGTCTGGATAAGTTAACTAATGTCTAATTAATAATTTAGATAACATTTCAGGCCTAAAGAAAGACCTGCAATAGGCAGATTTAGCTCTTGCATAATGTATGTTTAAGCACTAAGAACAACAACAAGGTGTATTGAAGTATTTTGAGATACAACCAGGTGTATTGAAATATATATTATACATGTATACTTATATCAAATGAAATGACATGAAATGTGGTATAACCCTAAAGCTAGGTTCTCACTGTCATGCAATGAGTTATGATAATAATTCCCTACTGAGTCGACGATCTGGTACTTTCAGATACGTTCTGATTGTTTTGATACAATCAACACGATTGCTACGACTAACCTCAATATATGATAAGACTTGATAGGATCATCACAATTAAAACCACGGTCTCAATCGTAGCACAAATCCTGATAGTGACAACCTAGCATTACGGTAGCAATATTTATTGTATTATATTTTATTATGCCACACAATGACCTATGACGGTTATAAATATAATTGTCCTAATTATTATTAATAAACAGTGCTCTGTGAATTGTGGGACAGGAAGACAAGAAAGAAAGGTTTTATGTCGAAACAAAGAACTTAGAGGATTCCGAATATTACCAGATGCCATGTGTAAAACTAACGACAAACCTCCCAAAACACGACATTGTAAAAAACGTCATTGTGTTAGACGATTTGAATGGATTATTTCTCCTTGGGGACCAGTAAGTATCGATTATATTCAATAAAATAAATGATATTTTTTGAAAATAGAATTAATAAGGCAGCTTATATTTTATGGTAAAAAGTGATGAATTATGTTTTGAAATATTGTAAGAACTGTTATCGTGAGCTTTGTGTGTTTTTATTTTGATTTATAATTCTGCATGGTAAATTCAGAAATACTAGATGGATACGTTGATTTACTAACATGATAATTATATACAGTGAAAGAATTTAATGATGGACCAACAACCCAAAGCCATCCCAATTACCGCCTGTCATTCTCATTTACTAACATGATGATTATATACAGTAAAAGAATTTAATGACGGACCAACACCCCTAAACCATCCTGATTTCTGTCTGTCGCTCTCAAGTAACTATGAGCTTGACTGGCAGTCTAATCCCATTTGTTTCATTAGAAATATCAATATTTCGCTTATGTCTCTGTTTAGAGGTTACATGAATTGCTACTGTAAAACTTGGCCAGAAGGTTTTAATGAAATGAAATGGGGTTTAACATCCTACTTTTCTGCTCCGACTGGGCTAATGAAAATGGGCATATGTTATGAGGGAAATTTTGCCCAGGCAGTGGCACTATGGTCAACTCTTATATCAAATTCCAACTGCCAAGGGATCTTTTACGTGCATGCCAATGTATACGCGGGACCTGGGTTTTTCGTACCATCCAAACGACTAGAAAGCTGTCCTTGGTAGTCCCCCTATCCTGCACCACTGATAAGGGGAAACCATGCTGGAAAATCCCAATGAACGTTCTCGGCTAATGCAGGGATCGAACACGCGACTTCCAGGCTAGTGAGCCAGAGTCTTTCCCACTTAGCCACCATGCCTCCCAGAAGGTTTTGAGGGGTTGGATGGCCAAATGGTTAGCATGTGCATGCTGTATCATAAGGTCTGTCATTGAGTCAACTGGCGGGGTTTCGATTCCCCGGTTGTACGTGACAAGGAGTGAGATCTGTTATGTTAAATTATGAATTGATGAATTTCTTACAAAATGTTTTGAATGATTTCATTTATTTAAAATATGTCTCATTATATCAATTCTCTCGTCTGATTTTTTAAACTTATTTACATTGTTCAAATAAGTACATATTGGCGACATCTAATAGAAGAATGCTTGACAGTTGAAATGTGATGAAAAGTAGGCAGAAACGCTGTTGTCCAGACAAAATTCTCCTCCAAAGCATTAAATGTGACCATATGTTAGTCTCAGAATGACCAAAGCTAATGAGGACAGACATACGCCATTTAGTGTGTTATGAGGGAAATTTTGCCCAAACAGCGGCACTATGGCCTACTCTATATCGAATTTCTAACTGCAAAGGTTTTTATTTACGTGCACGCCAATGTGTACACAGGACCTCAGTTTTCCGTCCCATCCGAACAGCTATACATTGTTAGTCTCAGAATGACCAAAGCTAATGCAGGCAGACATACACCATATAGTGTGCTATGAGGGAAATTTTGCCCAGACAGCGGCACTATGGCCTACTCTATATTGAATTTCCAACTGCAAAGGGTTCTTTTACGTGCACGCCAATGTGTACACAGGACCTCTGCAGTTTTTCGTCCCATCTAAACAGCTATACATTGTCCCTTGCCAGGTCCTCTGTCCTGCACCAATGACAGGGGGGAACCCTGCTGGAAAATCCTGATGAACGTTTTTACTCGGTCAACACCAGGATCGAACACGGGACCTACAGATTAGCGAGCCAACATCTTAATCACTGAGCCACTGTGGCTCCTATATCTTTTGAGAACTTTCAAAGTCAAACAGTTTTGATTCTGTCAACCAATTTTTACTGACAACAATAATTAGACATATATGCCAAATCTTGCAAATAAAATTAAAATAATGATTTATTAATTGAGTTAAAGAAATTTTTCACTGACCTCATTGTCCATTCTTAATAAGGCATGATTTATTTTAGACTAAATTTTCATTTGGAAAAATAATGATCTCTAAATATCAGGACAAATTCATTTTCAGTGAAAGTTTTCTTTAAGGATTTACACAAGGGCAGTACCATTAAATTTGTAAAATATTTCATCAAATGATATCAGTGGCTTTAAGAATTAAAAAGCAAACTGAACCAAGCCAGTAGGCCTTCTTTAATGCCCCTACCAGTGACAATTGCATGTGTTTTATTTTATAATTTAGTGATATTGTTCTTGTGAATAATATAGATTCATCCATCCCATGATCCAATTAATTTGATACCTATATATATATATATATATATCCTTTAGTTGTTGCTTTTATTTGCTTAATTTATTTGCTTTAGTGCTCCAAAACTTGTGGCCAGGGTCATAGGTCACGCTTTCTCAAGTGTAATGCAATCAACATTCATGGAAAACGTAAATCAGTGCGTGAACGCAACTGCCGTCACAAACCTAAACCAAATGTCCGGATGGAAGAAGCCTGTTGGCTAGTTTCCTGTCCGCAAGCTTTATTGGCATGGCAACGACATACATGGCATGTTTCCGATTGGACACAGGTCTGCATGATTTATTCCTTTTGTTTTAATTTTGATTTTAATTTCTGCGCTATTTCATAAAATCTAATGCTTGATTTAACTAACTGGTTTTTTTAAAGTTTGCAAATTTTTGTTTGATTATTTGATTAAATAAATCTGTTCCATCCCCAAAGCAAAGGGTTAATACCACATTTTCTCTTAACAAAACAGAGTTTAAGAAAGCTATATGATCCTTCTGCTTTATTAATGCTTCCCCATTAACCCTTTAGACTCCCAATAAAATTCATTCTGGTATTGGGTATTCATTTCATTATTCTCAATCTTTATTAAGTCACTAATATGTAAAAATAATCAAACAGATGAATGCGTGTTCAATTTTCCTGTCCTGTAGTATCTCCAACCTACATTAGACTACTTTAACAATGCGAGCTTGTGTTATTGCTGAAGACTTTACTTTGGAGCATGCTTTAGGGGATGGAGGCGGGTGGTTAGCAATTGGTTGTACATGTGAGCTGTTAAAGGACAATATTGGTGTCAGTCATAATCACATATTATTATGTGATAGAACTCGTTAAACACATTCCAAATATAATTTTAACTCAGAGATCATTGCTATGATAGATGCGTAATCAAAGTGTTATGAATCGGAAGTGACGAACTCTAAAGGAAAACACAAGTTATCCCTCTATATAACTTATAAAATCATGGTAATGCACAGATTTTTCTGTTTTTCTATTGTGTTCTCTTATCTAGTGGCAGTCAATTCTTTTTATGAATTGTCAGATATCCTCTCACAGTCTCACACAACAACTTTTGGTCTTCGAAGGAATTATTAGTGAGCAGAAATTCGCCATCTGTTATCACTCGTCACTTCAGTCAGTTATATAGAGGGATAACTTGTGTTTTTCCTTTTGCGTTCGTCACTTCCGATTCATGAAACTTTTATTACTCATCTATCGTAGCAACCAGTTCTATCACATATGTGATAATGACTGACACCATTATTGTCCTTTAATCATTAGATATACTACTTGTACAAGTTGAGGGTTGGGTGGCCAAGTGGTCTAACATGTGCACTTTAGATCATAAGTTCTCCCTGTCTCTAACTCTTGGGATCAATCCCTTACAGTCTGCCTAACATTGTGGATTTCTCCTGCTTTAACAACCCCTATTTATATGTTAGTCCCGAAATCACCTAGTTTGTGTTGATTGGACATTAAACCCCATATCTTTATATCTCTCTCTCTTGATTCTTGTTTGTTTTATTTGCTTTTCTTATATTATAATAATATATGATCAATATTATACTGTAGTGTTCAGCCAGCTGTGGCCATGGATTTCAGAGACGTAATGTAAAGTGTGTTGATAAGACAGCTCATTCCAGATCTAATCAATGTTTATCTCATCTAAAACCAACTACCTCAAAACCATGTGACAGTGGAACATGTCCTTCACAAGATGGTAAGATCGTTTGTCTCATATTTTTGTTTTCCCTAGGGGAGATATAGTGTACTCTAACTAATCACGGGGTCCTGGATTCAATCCTGCTGATGGCAGAGAAAGTTCCTCAGGATTTTTCTGCCTGGCTTTTCTCTTGTCAAAGTCTCTAGTTATTTAGGTGGTATGGGAAACTGAGGTCCACCTGTGTACTTGCTGCCTAGAACCATTGACATTTGGAGTTCGCACCAGCCGAGTTCCAAATCTGTACTAGTTAGCTTGAACCATTGAAAGTTTGAGTTCGCACCAGCTGAATTACACCTGTTTTACTTGTTTGCTTATAGTTTGCACTAGACGAGGTCTACCTGTGTGCTCGTTAGCTTGAACCATTGACAGTTGGAGTTCGCACCAGCTGAATTACACCTGTTTTACTCGTTAGCTTGAACCGTTAACAGTGTGAGTTCACACCAACCTGGCTATTGAAGACAGGTATACAGCATGCCGTGTGTTATGAGGGAAATTTTGCTCGGACAGCAGCGCTTCAGCCTACTCTTATTTCAAATTCCAACTGTAAAGGTTATGTGCACGTCAACGTTTAGTTGAGACCTCGGCTTTTCGTCACATCCGAACAACTGTTATTGCAGACCCTCTGTCCTGCACCACACTGGAATATCCTATGGAACACTCTCGGCCAACACCACGATTGACCTGAGGATCTCCTGTTCACTGATCCATCACAGCTCTTCATTATGACTTTCTTGCTTCAATGTAATTTGCACAATAACTAGACAATTATTATTATTGTTTGTCTTTTTTTTAGAACCTGTTTGTGAAGATAAAGAGGTATGGTGTCCTTTAGTACGCCATCATAGAGCTTGTGGTCAACAGTATTACAGAAACAGATGTTGTAAAACTTGTGAAAGGAGCTGATCATCTTTTAACATAATTTCTTCAATTAATGAGAGAGAAAACCTTTCAAAGTCATATATATAAAGATCTCGTCGTGTTTGGTTGTGATGTCGTATTTATTTGTCAAAAAACAAGTCATGCATTTAGTTCTACTTACTTATAGGTCTCATAGATAATATTATTTTTTTTATTTTTATTGAAATATGAAATTATTTGTACCTCAAGCGTCTTTTAGAATGTTCAACAAAATGGATGTGCATTATGATAAAGTGCACAATGTAGTCAGGAATTTGCTGAAGGGAGATTGCTTGTTCTGAATAACAGTGCACTGAAAGTGTGAGTTTTGCTATGCTCCCTCCCTACTAGTTTGCTATGCTATTCTCCCTCGCCAGTAGGAATCAGGGTCAGGGAGGGTGTTGAAGGTGGTGTGGTGCTTTGGCCCCCCCCCTCCGTTTTGTCTTGCTACGTTAGAAGCCCCCCCCCCCCCCATATGAATTTTGTTCCAATAGGCCTGTCCCACCGAGATTGCTATGCTATCCCTGAGTTTACTCTGCTTCCCTTAGATATTTTTATCTATAATTTCAATACAGTGGATATAAAAAATTTAATGGAGTGGTAAACATACCTTGACAATGTTTTAAGATTTAGGCTCTTTTTAGAGCAATATTACAAGGTAATTGGTTTGGGCTGTCACAAAAAAATGTGGGAATGCATTGAGTGCAATTTGGTGGAAGAGAGCTGGAGAGGCTTGGCCATATTTTACTTAGATTTAAAGAGGAGTCTAGGGCTATATCACTGCTTGTACCTAGTAGGGTTAAGGTCGTAGGAATAAAAGGAAACACAAAATACATAACCATTATAATTAAATGTTCTTCAGATTTTATTATTACTGACTATATAACCTGTTTTTTTCTACACGTTTTTTTTTTACGTAATGTCATGAAAATATTTGCAATTTGTTGTAGTAGGAATAAATTAGAACGTCTCATTTTGACTAATAGTCTATAAAGTCCAGCAGCAATTTACCCTTAACGCCCCTAAATCTGTAGATAGCCCTGCACTAGCTGTTAGACCTAAAATAGTTAAACATACATTATGCAAGAGCTAAATCTGCCTATTGCAGGTCTTTCTTTAGGCCTGAAATGTTATCTAAATTATTAATTAGACATTAATTAACTTATCCAGACCATAATCAAATCTCGATGACATCGCTAGCCTGCAATATTTATTAGATTATGATCCCATTTGCTGCTCAACTTTCATTCATGATTTAATCATGAAATGGATAATCGACACTATGTTTTTTATCCTACCAACTTTAGTAATGATGAACAAGACTAGGCCAAAATTTCAATCTCTTAATTCTCGATTCATAGTGAATCAATTTGACTGAAATTTTCAGCAAATTGCCTTTACATTATCTTGTTTTTAACTATTATAGTGAGAACTGCCAGCTCTTTATCTAATCTCCCATAATGTATCTTTATGTAATGTGTACTAAAGTCGCTTCTGGGCCCCTGAAACTTCAGCGTCATTAGTTTTATAGTAGATCCACCACTTGCTAATGCCTGTATATAGTATATATATCATCAGAATATTTAAAAGGTTGAAATCCACGAAATATATTATTCTTTAAGTGTACATTATTTGTCGTTGGTTCATCTTTGGTTCAAATAATATGAAATATATCTAATCATTTTTTCCGGTTTTTTTTGTAAATATTTTTGAAGTTTAATCTTGTATGTTTTTATAATATTTCTATGTAATCTCTAAGTGTGAATTTGTTATATTATTGTAATATTATGCTATGATGTGGAATATTTTGTTTGTAGGTATCTACCTTATATATTGTTGTCTTATCAAAGTTTTTATAAACATTGAAAATATCTGTGCAATGTTTTTTAGGCCAGACCTATTTATTTTTTAATTCTTCAAGCTCTTTTTCATAAATATAAGGCTGCTATTACATAGGAGTATGTGGTATTCAAAAAGCCTTTAAATTCTTTTAAGATATTTTCTAATTTCATTATTTTTGTTAATATATTAAAGAGATAGTAAGAATTTTTTTAAATGGGTGTTATGAGAATACCTTCTGTCCCTGTAACAATATATTTTACATTTTTATGACACCGAGATAGAACAGTGATTGTTTTATGAAAGGAATACATAAACTATGCCTAGATATAACCAGGCCTACGCATATACTTGGTCTATACATATACAAGGGCTACGCTAGGCCTATCTATATATATAACCAGGCCTACACATATAATAGGCCTATATATAATCAGGCGTATACAAATAGGCCTATACATTTACGAGGCCTATATAAATATATATAAACCAGACCTATGCATATACTAGGCCTATATATATAAACCAGGCCTACACATATTCTAGGCCTATATATATATATATAAAAACCAGGCCTACGCATATACTAGGCCTATATATATATAACCAGACCTATTCATATACTAGGTGTATACCTATTACCAGGCCTATGGATACACTAGGCGAATGCATATACTAGGCATATAATATATACCAGGCCACTGCATATACCAGGCCTATACATGAAACCTACTTTCTTAAAGTAGTCATTGTCTTTCTGTAATCAAAATTGTCCATGTGCATATATATATTATATATAATTGATGCGTGAAAGACCAGGGCCCTGTTTCTCGAAATCTTAACTACAGATAAAATCTAAATTTTAGTAGATATTTCAATTTTGATTGGCTAAGCACTAAAATCAATCTAATATTATCCAATCAAATTACTAAAATTTGGATTTTATCTTAGTTAAAATTTCATGAAACAAGCCCCAGGGTGCTGCCTATTACTTCGTGTTTTCTCAATTATTTTTGTGAAACTTATTTTTATTTTGTTAATGTTAGTGCTATAATCTACTATTCACAGTGCTAGTTGTAAAAATAAATATTCTATTGTTGAATTTTAAATGATCATGATAAATGAACAGTATGTAGAATAATTGTACAAATTCATTTCTTTACATTGAAAAGTCTTCATGTGAATTCCCCAGTTAAAATACATATTGACATTCGACTGAGAAATTTGGTCAAAATGTTATTGAAATTTCACAGTGATTTCAGTAAAATTTTGCAAATTTCTCTTTTGGATATTGAGATTTCATTGAGATTTTACTGACATTTCAATAAAATGTTGACAAAATTTCTCGAAGTGATTTCTCAGAAATTTCTCGAAGTGATTTCACAGAAATTTCTTGAAGTGATTTCACAGAAATTTCTTGAAGTGATTTCACAGAAATTTTAATAACATTTTCACTGGGGAGTTACCTATAGCTAATAATGTATAAATCAAAATGGATTGAAACAAACCTGGAGATATTTCAATTCTAGAATTATATTTTTGGTATTTTTTGTTGTACAATACAATTTAAATTGTCATTTGTAAAAAATATTTTGATAAAATGTTTCAATAAAATGTATAAGTCGAGTATCCATGAATTGTGTCGTAAAACAGTTGGCAGGGCTGACTATGTTATCATTGTTGTGGCATGTCGCAAAGTCATGACACATGTAAAACAGTTATCAGAGTTGACTATGTTATCATTGTCGTGGCATGTCGCAAAGTCATGACACATTGTAAAACAGTTATCAGAGCTGACTGTGTAATCATTGTCACGGGATGTCTCAAAATCATGACAGGCTATTGGAATAGGTTGGTGAAGAATCGTTTTCCCACTACGGTTAGTGAGTAGGACTTGTGACTAAACTGTTTCAGGTATGAGACTCAAATTGGATATTAAGTTCTTGTGTCTTGATCACCTCATCTCTGTATTCCAGTCTAAAAGATGAAATGAGTATCAGTAGGATGATGTATGCCATCACACAAAAAACTGTTGCATTCTGTTGGCAGAATAGATCTGCAAAGTACAAATGGTCTGCAGGAAGAAAAAAGAGATCTGCAAATATATAGTTACAATCGGAATCCATGCAGGAAAATCCCATGAAATTATCTCAGTCAATTCCAGGATCCAAACCTGAAGACCCTGATTAGTGAGCCAGCACCTCACTCACTGAGCCACTCGACATCATATGAACGTTACTGTGGTGATAGCTGTATAAATACATGACAGGATAACATTGGAATTGACCAATCTAATCCATAATATTTAACAAGCAAAAATAACAAACTCAAGTTGTGTAACATATTTATATATTGACTAGAAAATTATGCAAAACAGATACCTCATTACAACTTCCATAGCATGAACTATTATCTCATAAAACAGATACTTCATATAACATCCATAACATAAATTATTAAATAGATGAACTGTTCTCTCATAAAACAGATACTTCAGTATAACTTCCATAACATGAACTATTAATAGATGAACTATTCTCTCATAAAACAGATATCTCATAGCCTCCACAACATAACATGAACTATTAAAATAGATGAACTATTCTCTCATAAAACAGATACCTTATAATAGCCTCCATACTATGAACTATAAAGAACTATTCTCTCATAAATTTACAGATACCTCATATAATCTCCATAACATGAACTATTAATAAATGAACCATTCTCTCATAAACCAATAATTTGACCTTTATTTCTTTATAACCGATTAATCATTTTCTCTTATTACAAATTAACATTATTGTTTAAAAGATTACAAACATCGACTCTTAAAAAATGAACAAATTTGACAATTTGATAGTTTCTGACTAAAAACAGATTTTTTTTTTTTTTTTTAATTATAAACACTTGCATTCCAATATGAATGTTTTAGCCCAAATACTAAATTTCAAAAGCTAAATCTAAATTTTCTCACCAACATAATTTTGATTAGTATGATTAGAGTTATTTCTTGTACATACCCATACAGTATTCATAATCTTCAAACTTAAACAAATAACAAATGACCACTATATGAAAAATAAACATAATCTCAACTCTTAAACAGTTTTGAACAAATTAGACAGTTTTTCACAAATTAAACAGTTTTTAAAAAATTAAACAGTTTTTAACAAATTAGACAATTTTTAACAAATTAAACAGTTTTTTTTAACAAATTAGACAATTTTTAACAAATTAGACAATTTTTAACAAATTCAACAGTTTTTAACATATTAAACTGATTTTAACAGCCTTTTTTGTTCTGTTTTTTTTTTATTTTTTTATACAAATTAAACACCTTTTCTCAATTTAACAATTTAAACAGCTTTCATAAATCTACCGGTAATTCCCTTTCTCAATAACAAATTAAAGACTTTTTGTTAATAACAAATTTAACCACTTTTTCTTAAAACCAAATTGACCACTGTTTCTTAATAACAAATTAACCACCTTTCCACAAGTTAACCACTTTCTCCATAACACTTTGTAAAGGTTTCAAACTTCTTGAGTTCTTCATCAGAAACTGTTTTTCTGTGAGTTTGAAGTGATTTAATGAAGTCTCTGTGTGAAACTTCTCTTGGTTGTATCTTTAAAAAAAGAATTAAGACATCAAACACATAAGGAAAACAAATTTAAGAAAGGGTCAAATGAAGTTTTCTGGTGATAAGGTAAGTTTTCATAGTTGTTCGAATGGGGTGACAAAACAATGTCCACCCGTGTACACATTGGCATGCAAGTAAAGGAACTGCCGACTTGTGGAATTCGAAGATAATGATCTATTGTTTTGGATGGAACAGGGTCAAAATAATACTTTAGTCATATGAGAGAGAGAGAGAGAGAGAGAGAGAAATGGGGTTTAATGTCCGTTTGACACAAATTAGGTCATTTTGGGACTAACACATGGTTCAATTTTATTTCAATTTATTGAGCATAGGGGTCTTTAGCAGTGGGAGGAATAAAACCCACAAGGTTGGACAGGCGACCCTACGGCTTGTCATGTACAACCAGGGAATCGAAACCCTGCAAGTTGACTCAATGACAGACTTTATGATACAGCGCGCACATGCTAACCAATCAGCCATCCAACCCCCCTGACCCGGATAAAATCCATGAGGTTGGACAGACGACCCTACTCCTTGACACGTGCAAGTGAACAATCGAAACCCTGCCAGTTGACTCAATGACACCTTATGATACAGCACGCACGTGCTAACCATTCGGCCATCCAACTCCCCCTAGTCATATGAGATAAACATGGTAATTTCTATTTCTATTGTTACATGGTAGCAGAATTTTCCATCTACTCTCTTTTCCAACTGTCCAGTGTTCTTCACACGAGGACCTCAGTTTTGTGTCCCATCCAAACAACTAGACACACAGGAGTTCAGTGTTCTATTGTTTTAATCTGAATTTGATCCTAAGTAGATGATTTGATTGGGTTCAAATATCACACTTTTATCTGATCGGGTTGTCTGGTAACAATTATCCATACGGAAACCATTAAGATAATCTTAATATACCTGTACTAAAAACTACAAAGTCAAGAGCTTCCACTTGACTGTTAATATACTAATACTTCCGCAAATTAAAATCATATTTTTATTTATAGTATGGAATGGTGAATTATCATATCAACACCACTTTGTTGTTTGGTTAAAGAAAAATAAACATTTGAAATGGCTGTAGAAATATAGTCTACTTGTCATACCACATGCTCTAGAAAACACAATTAATTTGACAATTTTGAGTTATTCAATCTGATTAAAACACAGATCCTATTTCGTTTTGTTTTTTAAATTTCAAAATTTTGTTTTACTTGTCATTACTACACTGGGATCTGGAAGAGTTGTTATATTACTGGTGTTTTGGTTGAAGTGAGGGATAAGCCAATGAAACAGTCTGTTATGGCAACTTCTTGGTGTGCCATGCACAGGAACTGTAGGTAAACCACTAGAAACACCAAAGCTGACTGACTAATCAATGTCTGATGTCATAGGGTCAAAAGCCACTTGAATGACCCCTGACACGACCTTCCAGTACAACTAAACGAAATATAGATCTGTATTTTAATCAGATTGTGAGTTATTCGAATAACAAACTTGATAGTTTTGAGTTATTTGAACATAGCCTACTCGTGGTACCACGTACTCTAGAAAACACAGACAACTTGATAATTTTGAGATCAATTCATCATAGATGTTATGATCCAATTTGATAGTAAACAATATGGTGTACCTTATCTGGAGGTAAATCAGTCATACATGTTTCAATACTATCTGGATACGGAATTTCTGTAGGTACAAATTTTCCATCTATAAAAGAAATTACACAGACAAAAAATGAATATAAAAGAAGGAGAGAAATGGGGTTTAACATCCACTGAAAACAAAATAGGTGATTTCAGGACTAACATGATATAGTGGAGTTTTATTTCAATAAACGTACATGTTGGACGATTCAACAACCTGACCTTCCTAAATACGAAAGTACAGCAGAAACTGTTCACTGCATGAACTTTTCAATGAGGTGTTCTAGAAAGTGAAAGCATATCCTGCTTTGTGCATTCCACTCATTATAACACATTAAAATACAGATGTGACTTCATCCTTGGATGTTGGCTATTATTATTTCAAATAATGGTACGGGCAATGTGCCAAGTGTACATTATTTATACTAGTTAAAATTTCGGACCTGTGTGACATATTTCATTGCAAAGCACATGCGAGTGTCTGTATTTTAAGTTGTTTAATGGTCTCGAGCTTAAGACATTGCGCGATGTCTCGCTTTTGACAAAAACTGGAGGACCTGGATAAAACCCACAAGACTGGACAGACGACCCTACTCCAAACCACAGTACTTGACTCAATGACAAACCTTATGATGCAATGCGCACGTGTTACCATATGGCCACAGATCAACCAAACCTCTGCATACCACTGTTGACAAGAAAAGTAGATAGTTAATACAACACTAGGTAAAAACAATCAAACCTGGGAGATGGTGCCAGAATTTAGCAACCTGTAAATCTCTAATGGGTTGGAATAAGGCACCAAGTGTCATAGTAGCTATATCACTGCCAGAATACCCTTCTGTAGCATCAGCTAAACTATTCCATTCATTCTCACTTATATTACAATCACTACCGTGACAGTGAAGTTTCATTAACTGGATTCTAGCATCTCTACAAAATATCACATTTTAAATCAAATAACATCCTACTTTTCTTCACCGACTGGGTTAATGAAGACAAGTGAAATTTTGCAACTACGACCTACTCTTATTTTGATTTCCAACTGTCAATTAAGAGTTCTTTTACTTACACACCAATGTATATTTACCAGGTTGTCTGTCCTGCACCACTTACAATGGATAACCATGTCAAAAAATACTGAGGAACATTCTCGGCCAACTCAATGGGAGCGAACCAGAGACTTCATGGTTAGCGAGAGAGAGAGAGAGAGAGAGAGAGAGAGAGGGGAAGGGAAGAAAGAGAGAGGGAGGGGTCTTTAGCAGTGGGAGGAAACCGGAGAACCCAAAGAAAACCCACGAGGTTGGACAGGCGACCCTACTCCTTGTCACCACACCAGTTGACTCAATGACAGGCCTTATGATACAGCGTGCAGGTGCTAACCATTTGGCCATCAAACCTATTTCAAGTTGTGGCTCAGTGAGCAGGCAAAGACTCACTAACCAGAGAGAGAGAGAGGGAGGGTTTAACGTCCACTCGAACCAGACTAGGTCATTTCGGGACTAACATATGGTTTTAATTTTATTTCAATAATTTGCTTGCGCGTAGGGGTCTTTAGCAGTGTAAGGAAACCGGAGGACCCAGAGAAAACCCACGAGGTTGGATAGGCGACCCTACTCCTTGTCACGTACAAACGAGGATTCGAAACCATGCCAGTTGACTCAATGACAGGCTTTATGATACAGCACGCACGTGCTAACCATTCGGCCATCCAACCCCCCAAATCCTGAGGATCATTCTCGGCCAACGAATTGGGAGCGAACCAGAGACTTCATGGTTAGATAGCCAACGTCTTACATTTGGCCTTCTCTGCAGATAAACATGCCAGAACCACTTATAAGTGAAGGGTAAAATATTTTGATGGGCCTCTTTTTTAGTTGACTGAATCCAAGCCGAAAGATTATTTACTTTGATATTTTGATTTTCTTTTCTTAATTAAATGTTAAAATATAAAATTGAGTAGAATTTAGCATGGATTAAACATACATTATGCAAGAGCTAAATCTGCCTATTGCAGGTCTTTCTTTAGGCCTGAAATGTTATCTAAATTATTAATTAGACATTAATTAACTTATCCAGACCATAATCAACTCTCGATGGCATCACTAGCCTGCGATATTTACTGGATTGTGAGCCGATTTACTGCATAACTTTCCTTCACGATTTAATGATTAAATGGATAATCAAGACTATGCTGTTTATCGTACTGACTTTAGTAATGATGATCGAGGCTAGACGGAAATTTCAATCGCTTAATTCCCGGTTCATAGTGGATCAATTTTAATGAAATTTTCAGCAAATTGCCTTTACATTATCTAGTTTTTAACTATTATAGTGGGAACTGCCAACTCGTTATCTAATCTCCCATAATGTATCTTTAAGCTGTAAAAAATTAATAAAGTCACCAAAAAATGTCACCTTTCTGGTAACTGAATGTAAATTCTCTTCTGGAATCTTCTTAAGAAAGCAACATCTAGTTCCCATGGACAGTTAGTAGCACACAATAAAAATATTTTATCAGTTGAATCAGAGTTGTCTGCCCCTTCCATCTGTTTTAATAATTCTGTTTTAATTCTACGAGTATGTTCTTCTTCTCTGGTGTTTCTCTGACGGGTTATACTGTCTATCTCATCTATAAATATTACCTGGTTAGATAAACAGGAATAAAATCATAGACATCTGTATCAAGTCTTTCAATAATACTCAACAACATGGAAAGCTGTCTGAGAGAGTGGGAGAGGGAGAGGTGTTAGAGAGAGTGAACAGAAGAGAGCGAGAGTGTGTGCGAGTAAAAGTGTGCAAGAGTGAGAGTATGTTTGAGAGATTGAATGACAAAGAGAGGAAGTGTGTGAGAGACAGAGTGTGAACGGGCAGAGAGAGTGAGAGGACAATAGAGGGAGAATGTGGGATGGTGAGAGAGAGAGAGAGATAGAGTGTGAGTGTGAAAGGGAGGAAGTGTGTAAGAGACAGAGTGTGAACAGGCAGAGAGAGAGAGAGAGAGGACAAGAGAGAGAGAATGTGCATGGTGAGAGAGAGAGAGAGATAGAGTGTAAGTGTGAACAGAGAGGAGTAAGAAACAGAGTGTGAGTGGGCCGAGAGAGAAAGAGAGAGAGAGAGAGAGAGAGAGGACAAGAGCTAGGGAGAATATGGATGGTGACTAACATATATGGTATGGAATTAAACGTCCTCAAGACAAACTCGTTCTTTAGCCCGAAGGAGGAAAGTGGAGGAAACAGAGGAAAACCCATCAGGTTAGGTCGACGACCCTCTTGTCTTGTCATTTACAACATATTGGGATTGAATCCACTCCACCTGACTACTCAATGATCTAAAGTGCACCCATTAGACCACTCAGCCATCCCATTTATGATTTCTATCCTACAGAGATTCACACTCACGTTTCTGTCTTCTCTTCATTGAACAATCTGATTAAAATACAGATCTATATTTCGTTTTGTTTTTTATACTTTCCATGGCCTACACAACATGAAGATCTGACTGGTTGTAGCGATAAGTCGCGTCAGAGGTCATACGAGCGGCTTTTGACCCTATGATGTCAGACATTTGATTAACCAATCAGCATTGATGTTTCTTGTGTATTACCCACAGTTCCGTGCAAAACACGTCTAAAGCTCGCCGTAACATACCGTTTCATTGGCTAATTCCTCACATTATCCAGAACATGTCAATGATAACAACTCTTCCAGATCCTAGTGTAGTAAAGACAAGTAAAACAAAATTTTGAACTATAAAAAACGAAACGAAATAGGATCTGTGTTTTAATCAGATTGTTCATTGAATGACTGTGCATGCTACACCTGACAAGAAAACCAGGCTTGAAAAATCCCAGGGATTCGAAGCCAGAACATTCTATGATTTAGATTTGTATTTCTTATTGAAAGTTTTTAAAAGACAAGAAATATTAACTTACTGAGCGTCCTGAATTACTTGTCGCATGGCAAAATAACTCTTTTATCAATCTGAAAAAAATATATTTAGCATGTCATGTTCAACAGGGAGATTTCCACAAAAACAATCTCAACACATCTAAAAAGTTTTTAAAAATCTTCTCATCTTTCTACACCACACCAAGTTGATTTTCTCTTCTTCAGGAACACCTGCTAAAAATTGTTCTTATCATTTCTTAAAGAAAAACACTAATTTAAAATCCAAAAGTACTTGGTTGGCGGGTGCACTGTTCAAAACATCTGTGGCTTTTTTTTTTATCAAGATCTCGGATCATAGAAAATCAAATTGGTGTGGCTTGTACAATCCACCTTGATTTGAAAAAGAAATAAAATGAAATCAGGCCCCGAGTTTACAAAGCATTCTCTGACTTAAGAATTTACTCAACTTTCAATCACTGTTTATGAGAAATATCTTTGATCCAGAAACACAAAACTTTGCACATAGTTTCTTATTGATGTATTTGATACATTAAAACAAAAAAAGTTTTATAAAGGGCCATATTCTAGTTAAAATAAGGTGAACAATTTTGAAAAACTTCTTAACTTAAGTCTGAGAATGCTTTGTAAACTTGTGGCCTGATGTTTTAATTGTCTATTTTTCTTCCCCAACCAGGCTATTGAAGATGGGCGACGCATGTAGTGTGTGCCTAATCTTCATCCAATTCCAAATGACATGATTTCTTTTAACTCGGTGGACTTCAGTTTTTCACTTTATACATTTCCTTGCCAAGGCCTTTGTGGGGAAATTGTGAGAAACTATCTCAGCCAACACTGGGATTAAACCCGAGACCATCTGGTTAGTGAGTCTGTGCCATGCTCACTGAGCCACAAAATGAAATGAAATGAAATGGAGTTTAACGTCCTACTGTTCTGCTCCTAACCTGGGCTAATGAAGACGGGCATACGCCATACAGTGTGTTATGAGGGAAATTTTGCCCGGACAGCGGCACTACGGCCTACTCTTATATCGAATTCCAACTGCCAAGGGATCTTTTACGTGCACGCCAATTTGTACACGGGACCTCGGTTTTTCGTCCCATCCGAACGACTAGACAGCTTTCCTTGTCAGTCCCTCCGTCCTGCATCACTGACAAGGGAGAACCACGCCGGAAAATCTGGATGAACTTTCTCGGCCAATGCAGGGATCGAACACCCGACCTCCAGGCTAGCGAGCTAGCATCTTACCCACTTAGCCACGTGATCCCCCACTGAGCCACAACTTTAAATAGGAGGTTGGATGGCCGAATGGTTAGCACCTGAACGCTGTATCATAAGGCCTGTCATTGAGTCAACTGGCGTGGTGACAAGGAGTAGGGTCGCCTGTCCAACCTTGTGGGTTTTCTCTGGGTTCTCCAGTTGCCTCCCACTGCTAAAGACACCTCTCTCTCTCTCTCTCTCTCTCTCTCTCTCTCTCTCCCTCTCTGGCTCATGTTTAAGAGAATTAGATCCTTTAATAATGGATGACATTTATTATAATTATATGAACATGAATATTAATTAAACTTACTTCTCACTTTCACCAACCCAACTAGAAATGATATCAGCACTGGAAACACAATAGAAGGTGGACTTGATCTCAGAGGCTATTGCTTGAGCTAGTCGTGATTTACCAGTACCAGGTGGACCATACAATAAAATGCGCTTCCATGGTTTTCTTCCACCTTGAATTAATTCAAATTTAGTAAATAAATTTGAATTGAAACTGTAAAGGAAGTTTGTTTCTGTCCCATAAAATGGAACTGCATGCTATTCCTTGCCAAAGAGTCTGTCCTGCACCATTGATAAGTGGAAACCACACCAAAAAATACAGAGGAACTTTGTCTGCGAACAATGGGATATAACCTGGGACGTCCTGGTTAGTAAACAAGCTCCTTACTCACTGAAGCCCTGTGAATCCCAGTTTCCAAGGGATTCAAATTCCTTTAAATGATATTTTGATGCTTTGAAAATTGATTACTAAATCATGTTATTACTGGTGATACATGTGGGTCGCGAGGAAATTGATAATGTACTACCAGGTTCCCATATTACCCAATCTGATTAAAACACAGATCCTATTTCGTTTCGTTTTTTATAGTTCAAAATTTTGTTTTACTTGTCTTTACCACATTAGGATCTGGAAGAGTTGTTATATTATTGGCGTTTTGGCTGAAGTGAGGGATAAGCCAAAGAAACAGTCTGTTACGGCGACTTCTTGGCGTGCCATGCATGGAACTGTGGGTAAACCACTAGAAATGCCAACGCTGATTGATTAATCAATGTCTGATGTCATAGGGTCAAAAGCCACTTGTACGACCCCTTACACGACCCCTTACATGGGCCTTATAGTACAACCGGTCAGATCTTCATGTAGTGTAGGCCATTGAAAGTATAAAAAACGAAACGAAATATAGATCTGTATTTTAATCAGATTGTATATTACCCCATAAATTTGTGTTGTTTATTGCTGAGGGAGTACAGTCCTGAAATATGTTCTGTCAGGATACTTCCCAGGCATGCCCTTTACTGTGATGGAATTTTACCCAGAGAGTTGCGCGACAGCCTACAATTATTTTAAATTCATACTGACAAGGGTTATTTTTACGTACATGTCAATGTGTACATCGATCCTTGGTTTTTCAATCCAGCGGAACAAATTAAACATCCTGCATCACTGACAAGGGTTTACAAAATAAATAAAGTACCTGAATTATACTAACTGTATCACATTGACAATACTATTACTAATCAAATCAAGGGAATGGAACCAGAAGCCGGCCATAAGCGTCCACTGCAGTGATACAGGCTTCACATAAAATGAAGACTAACTCACAACAAGGAAGGCAACCCAAAAACGTTTTACACGAAAAAAGAAGCATAAGTTAGTATAATTAATCTTGGATTGAGTCTTTACCTGTAAAGAGATGAGGATATATAAATGGCATAATGATGGCTTCTCTTAAAGCTGTTTTAGCATCTTGTAAACCAGCCACATCATCAAATGTTATCGTTCCTGATTTAACTATAGTATCACTTATAGCTGACCGTCGATTTTTCTTCTGTACATCCTCTCCATTACCATCTATAACATTATAAACATACACTACTATCTATAACATTAGAAACACACATTACCATCTATAACATTATAAACACACATTACCATCTATAACATTATAAACACACATTACCATCTATAACATTATAAACACACATTACCATCTATAACATTATAAACACACATTACCATCTGTCATAATAAACACACATAACCATCTATAACATTATAAACATACACTACCATCTATAACATTATAAACACACATTACCATCTATAACGTTATAAACACACATTACCATCTGTCATAATAAAGATACATTAGTTAAAAGTTTATTAAAGAGCTGGCCATTCTTGCTATAATAATTCAAAAATAGATGATAAAAAAAGAAAATACTGTCTTGGCAAAATTTCCTTCACCTTCATTAGCCCAGTTGGTGCATAACAGTAGTACAGTAGACTTCGCATTAGTCAGATCTAAGTGGACTGACCAATTTTATCCGAGTTAAGCAAAGATCCGATTTAGCCAAAGATCAAAATTCAATCTTAGCTCGATTAGAAATAAACTGCAAGAGCTGGATAATAACTGATTCAAAGGCACATTTCTTCAAGCTTTTGTTCGTATGTGCGAGTAGATAATTTCCTTTTTGGTGCGAGTAGGTAACTTCCGTTTTGTCACCGTCTTTGAAAAATGTCCTCAATTTTCCCGGAAAGTATCTCGTACAGCAGACTGCGAGTTTCGAATTTTCCAGGAAAATTGTATTATTGCGTTGCGTCAAATAGGCGGATTTGAGTCAAAATGATAGGGGCTTTGTGCATGGAATACCTAACCGTGTTTTAGACCATCGAGACGAAACTGACTTAGTCAGATTCTGAACATACTGCCGATCCGATTTAGGCGAATTAGATCAGATGAACTGAACATTTTGATCCAATTTGAGCAAAGATCCGACTTACACACAGAAATTTAATAAGAAAAAGGTACAGGATCAAAGGGTCTAAATGATTTTATCCGAGTTGAGCAAAGATCCGATTTATGCGACGTTTACTGTATGTTCAAACCCATTTCACTTCAATCCATTTTGAATACTATATAATATGTATAACTGTATAAATACAAAATGAAATGAAATGAAATGGAGTTTAACGTCCTACTGTTCTGCTCCTAACCTGGGCTAATGAAGACGGGCATACGCCATACAGTGTGCTATGAGGGAAATTTTGCCCGGACAGCGGCACTACGGCCTACTCTTATATCGAATTCCAACTGCCAAGGGATCTTTTACGTGCACGCCAATGTGTACACGGGACCTTGGTTTTTCGTCTCATCCGAACGACTAGACAGCTTTCCTTGTCAGTCCCTCCGTCCTGCATCACTGACAAGGGAGAACCACGCCGGAAAATCTGGATGAACTTTCTCGGCCAATGCAGGGATCGAACACCCGACCTCCAGGCTAGCGAGCTAGCGTCTTACCCACTTAACCACGTGATCCCCTGTATAAATACAATTACCAGGTATGTTTGTGGCTCCAGTACATGATGAAGATGAAGTAGATGATGATATTGTGGATGGTGATATCAATGAAGATCCTCTTCCTGAATTTAATTGGTGGATTTTCTTCATCAAAATATCAACATGACAGCATAAACTTAACTCTAAATTTAGTAATGCAGACTAAAAATGGTAAAAGAAATCATTTAAAGCATATTCATCAATTTTTCGTGCATCACAGTGGATCACATGATCCATATCCATTCACCATAAACTATGTCACATCATTTCAGGATTTTCGTAAATCTTATTTCATAAATCTTTGGTTGTGGAGGAAAACCCAGAGAAAACCATTAGAGATTAGGCAGGCCACCCCACTCCTTGTCTTGTACAAGTTGGGGATCGAAAAAGGAGAACACTGACTCAATGACAGACCGTATGATTTAAAGCTCAAATGTTGTACTAATCAGCCTCTGTCTGCGATATCACTATACAAGCAGACATTAAACCACCAGCTGCTTCTACCATCCTATAATTTATAAGGTCCATGTATCAAATCCCTCTGATAGAATAGAGAGTTCAGAACAACAAAAACAACACAATATGGACGAATATTTTAACGTGTGCATGTTAGATCATAAGGTCTGTCATTGAGTCATGTGGTGGTTTTCGATTCCCCGCTTGTACATGACAAGGAGTAGGGTTGCCTGTCCAACCTTGTGGGTTTTCTCCTGGTCCTCCGTTTCCTCCCACTTCTAAAGACCCCTAGAATTGTTGAAAAAAAAAATAAATAAACCATATTAATCCCCAAATGACCTAGTTTGTGTCAAGTGGACATTAATCCTCCCTCTCTCTCTCTCTCTCTCTCTCTCTCTCTCTCTCGCTAAGTTTAGAAAATCATATATTTCTAGACATCCTTTAAGGAAATGAATAGATAGTCATAGGCCTATATTCTCTGCAATTTATGCTTTTGTAATACAACTTGCATTCTGTAACTTTGGATGACCACAGTTGGTCATTACAATTTGACAGTTTTGCCACTGATGTCAAATGACATGGTATATTTACCGTAACTGAAACAGAGTCCTTTTTCTCAGCTATGAAGCCTCTAACAATTGTCTGACATCTCTGTATATTGGAGAGCATCAATTGAATATCTACATTGGAATCTTTCTTTCCTTCATATAACGTCTGCTTTAAACTGAAACAAAAAATATGAATAATCATTATTCTTGATCCTTAGTAGAAGAAACATTTAGCCTATATTTAACAAAATGTTTGACGATTCAGCCACTGATGTTTGGGCCACAGAGGTTTTTAACTACAACCCTAACTAGTTAGCCCCTATTAGCACCAGTTAGTAAGCTTGGTTTCCCATGGTGCAGGTCGGAGGGCCTGGCATGGATAACATCTAGTCGTTCAGATGGGACAAAACAAACATGGTCTTGTGTACATTGTACCTATTGGCAGAAATGTAAAAAAACTCATGACAGTTCGTATTCGATATAACTTAAAATAACGAATTAGTACTGTTGTCCAGGCAGAATTTTCCTCACAGCATCACTGTATCGCGTACACCCGTTTTCATTACCCCAGTAGGTGCAGAAAAGTAGGACATTAAAACCTCATTTCATTTCATTTCACCAGTTAGTACATATACTTATTTAGCCTATGTGTTCAAAGCGTTGGTCTATCATTTGACTTTACTTTAACTTTAAACATGTTTCTGGGGAAAGAATTCATAAAGAAACACACTTAATGATTTCACATCCAAACTTGGTTTAAGCCTAGCTGTAAAACTATAGATCTCTTATATGGGTTAAACACGACTGGCTCTTCTGGCAAGTTTCATAAGAGATATTTTATCTATGGTATGGTATCACGCTCGGTGGAAGCGGACATTAACCATAACGAACAAATGAACGATTAGAGTTAACATTCCGATGATCACACAACTTTTATAATTGACAGATAAATTATTACCAAGCTAAGGCTTCTTCATAATTATTCAGCAAACAGCAATTAACATGAAAAAAGAAAAGAGAAAGAAAAAGTATTGTTGATTAATTTTTTTATTATAATATTAGGCCTGCCCTAGGCTAATATATCTTTCTGGATATTGCCTAATCTAAACCATAAAATACATAATTGGCTACACCAGGCAAATTTTGAGCATGTTAATATATTTGACAGTAGGCTATATCTGATCTTGCTGCACTAAAAAAGTTGACTAAACATAAAGTATAAACTAAAAATAAAAACAATAGTTATAAAATTGGACAAAAATGTTTCTAGTGACAAAAGTCAAAACAGAACCTCAAATCGACTGGCAAAAAAATCACCTGTGTACAATTCAAGTTCACCTATATCCATTTTGTAATCGATTCATAGGATCCAATTCCAGCTAAAGTTTGTGTTCTGATCCCCTTCCTAGGCTTCCACAGCTGAGGTAAAATCAGGGACAAGAACTCATGAGAACTGTTGGAAAACGTTCAGATATCCAGTCTCAAATGAAGTCCATCGTAATTTGCTTGCAGTACCCAAAAAATAGGATGTTAAATAGAGTTACCTCCCGTTGACCATATACAACTATTAACCAAATTAATAGTTTTATACCGGTAATACATTAGTGGCAAGTGGTAATATTTGCATATATGGATTCTTAAACAATAAAATATAATCTTTCGCGTTGTTAAAACTGTGAGTAGCTCATATTACTCAACAATACAATACCATTTAAAAATACTGCTGTGTACCTGTAAATTTTATATAACAAAACTAGAGTGACCTCCCTTTACACCCATCTAGTTGTTTACATAATAATGAGCTATTTTGTAATGATTTCTTGTTAAAAAGCAATTTATGAGCCTAACATTAAGGTGAGATTAGCTTAACCATGTTTACTAATTAATTTTTTTTTATTTTAAAGCCAACGAAAGTTCCTAATGTGGAGTGTTACTTGACTAGACTATAATATATGTTGTCCCCGATGGCCATGTATTTTAATATAATTAATATAGAGGCAATGACATGTATTTATTCTGGTCTGTCACTCCTATGAGTCCTAGGTTTTGACCATATCTAGTCTCAATCAAGGACTCTATAGGGCCTAGTTTATAACTGTTACCAACTGTCATTAATAATTACTGGATGTAACTATTTAATTTAGATATTTGTGAAAGTGCAGTAGCACCAATATCATGATATGGTAGGCCTACTAATGTAGTACTAATACTATCACATCGGCCCCTTATCTATTTAATTTTGTTTACAAGAATCTCAAGTCTTTTTGACCTAATCAAGGAAAGTCTTGATTTTGAGTATGACCAATTAAATTTTGTCAAGTGAGAGTGTTAGGGAGTAGCTAGGCTGAAGTGTTGACAACACTAAAGATAACAACAAAACACATACTTATGGAAAACAGCTACTAGTGTATTTAAGGCGACGTTTCGTAGAGTATTCTCTCAACGTTATCAAGCTAATACAGTAAAACAGGTATGAGGCAAATATATATAGACAAAATACAACAACATAACCGAAACCATACATAGCAACAACATGATCAAAGGCCTACACCAACACTTATTAAGATATACAATAGCAGATAGAGAGTTAATTAACTTATAGTCCATGGCCAGTGAGGATGTCTTAACAACAAAAATGGAAACCATACCTTAAAACAATTAGATCAAAGGGTTGTGACACAATTTGGTAACAATATACAAAAGTAAGAAAAGAAACCCCTATGTTAAACGATCAATAAGCTGACTAAGTAGTTGCGATATTAACCGAATATGGGAGGTGATTATTATTATAGTTAAGACAATAAATTAAGGCAATGGAGTATATACAACAGATAAATGTTACATGATGAAGGGTAGATTAAATATAACTGTTATTTCATTGCACATGTCTATTAACACTTGTAATTTTATGATTGGATAATTAGATATGCAATAGAGTTATAGATTTAATGTAAAAACAAAAACAATTTTATAACAATGAATATAGCACGATAGTAAATACAATAACTAGTCAAAAGAAAACACACAGCACACTTGTACAGTTTATAAGGAGTGGTGGAACCATGCTATTATTTAAATTAGTTGATCATACGCATTGGGCAAAAATATCCCTGTATCACGGTTAAGATCTGGTGCCTACATACAGTCATGATTATTCAGGCAAAAATAATAGCAAGTGCAGTAGGACCGCACTACACGCAAAACAAAATCTACAAGATAAACCTGTGGACAAGACAGAATATAGATATTGCAAATAATAAACAAATATAATATCAAGTGAATGGATCCGGGGGCCAGTTATAAGCATCCACTGCGCTGTACAGTCCTGGACCTGTAAGGTAAGTCTTTGGAATTGGAACCCAGCAAGTGTGCAGTCCCTATTGTTATTTCAATATATCATATTATTCACATACTTATTTATCTGTTATATTACTATTTATAATATGTATGCAGCATGCGGCCTGAAATGGGCATTGTTACAATAAACATCAAATGTTATCTCACCAGACATCGCTTGAGTCTTTTTCTTACTAGTTGCCCAATGGGGTATATTTACTGTGCCGAGGGGTATTGACAAATAAAGAACCAAAATGAATCGAAGGTCACTTGGCTGAGTAGTCTAGCCTCTAGGCTTAGGCCGCAAGAATTACACATGTTATTCATTATTCTGTGCAGGCCTTGATCTTCTCTGCGATGCCTGTTTTATCTATTAAGGAACCAATAAATGAAAAAAAAAACTGCGAAGATGTCAGTTTTTACTTCTTTTGTGCTGTACCATATTGAATGTATATTCAATGCACCTTGGCGAGGAACATTGTTACTGTCTTCTTTCACTGTTGATGAGGTGACTTTTCTATTACAGTCCATGTAGTGTTACATTAATACAATTTCACTTTTTTGTTACATTGCGGTTATTTTGTTTCACTTTAAATGTGTCCATAAAATTAGTTAAGGCCTGTTGTTAGGCTATGCCCTTTATCCGCTATCAAACTGTTGCAGTGAATGTGCTGATCATGTTCAGCAACCATGCTATATCGTGTTTTGAATTAGATTGCAATGAATAAAGAAGAGAGAGAGAGATGGGGTTTAACGTCCTCTTGACACAAAGTAGGTCAATTCGGGACTAACACATGGTTCAATTTTATTTCAATAATTCGCTTGCGCGTAGGGGTCTTTAGCAGTGGGAGGAAACCAGAGGACCCAGAAAAAAACCATGAGGTTGGACAGGCGACCCTACTCCTTGTCATGTACAACCGGGGAATGGAAACCACGCCAGCTGACTCAATGACCGACCTTATGATACAGCGCGCACATGCTAACCATTAGATTGCAATGAAAGTATGATTGTTATATTGTGTAGTGATCATCACTGGTTTTCCCACTCCAAAATATCTGACCTGTCCCAGGTCTCTGATAGCTTTTTACGATTTTGGCCAGATGATCGATCGGGAAATTTGTATTTGGGGTCAAAAATAAAACTGTTGATTTGCATGGATTTTATGTGGAGTTTTTTTTTTTTTGCGAGTTGACAATGTTGGTGCCTGTAGATAAAGCCAGTATTGAGATATAACAGATGTTGTTTTCCACTGTCACACGGGGGAGGAAGAGAGAGAGAAATAGGGTTGGGTTTAACAACTACTTGACACAAACTTACAATGTAGGTCATTTCATGACTAACATATGGTTTAATTTTATTTCAATAATTTGGTTGTGTGTTGTGGTCTTTAGAAGCAGAAGGAAACCGGGGGACCCAAAGAAATCCCACAATGGTTGGACAGACGACCCCACTGCTTGTCACGTACAAGCGGGGAATCAAAACCAAGCCATTTGGCGCAATGATAGATCTTATGATCCAACACTCACATGTTTACCATTCAGCCAACCAAACCTGAATGCCAAAATTTTAACTAATATTAGAAAAGTAAATGACTACCACTTAGTCCTTTGAAACAAAAATTGAATTGTATAGAATCAAATAACATTAGATCAACGCAATAATTTACAATCGTATCGAGCTTGGTCCATCACAAATGAATAAAAAAATCAAACCAGTTCATTGCTTTATTCTGACCTAAATCAAAGAGATATTGCTCCCTTAACTTTAAAGATAAATAAATGCAAAATTGCTATGTCATCATGGTATTGGTAAACATATGGCAATATATTAGTTTTGAATGTATTTTTAGATATGGGGTGATTTTTTTGTATTCTCTTGTAATCATGTCTATTACATAGAGATACCTGTATATTACTATATATCCACAGTGATATTTTTAGTAATATTGATTTGGAAGTTCTGTTATTTGTATTTTATTTTTTTTATTTCTAGAATTGACAATAGATATGTAATAAATTTTAAATTTATTTTTAGATTTGGGTGAATTTTTGTATTCCATTACTTTCATGTGTCTGTGTTTTTGTGTGGATGAGGAAAATATAACTTATTTGTAATTTATTTTGTCTCTTGTTGTCTTGTCGATATGATATCATTATTTTTGTTTTATAATTCAAATGTATTGTTATAATGATGTATCCAAAATGATATAATCTTCCTTTGGATTTTCTAATATTTTTATTTTATTGTATATATTTAGATGTTAAAAAGTGAAGTCTATCTGATAGATAATAATATTATTTGTATATTTTTAGATGTTATAGATAGAGAGAAGTCTATCTGACAGATGTATATTTTTAGATTTTTTTACAGAGAGAAGATGTATTTACATGCCTAATATTATCATTTGTATATTTTTAGATGTTATAGAGAGAAGTTTAGCTGACATATGTATAATTTTTAATATATTAGAGAGAAGAGATATTTAGGATAATATCATTTGTATATTTTTAGATGTTTTAGAGTGAAGTCTATCTAACAGATGTATTTATGGGACTGAGGAGTTCACGCCGTAGAATGAGTGATAGTGAACCTATGGATGAAGAAAATGATTTGCCATCAATAATAGCTTATTTGGTTCGCAGGTATTGGCTCTATTTTATATATTAATACGTACACCCTTTGAAAGTAAGAGAAATTGGACTGTTAATTGATTGTGTGGAACCTGTAACCTAATAATGCCTTGAAGCTGCTGATTGTCATTTTGCGTTTTTCAGACAAATAGAGAATAAAAAAATATCAAAAAATATCAACAAAAGTTGATAAAGTAAAAAAAAAAACCTGAGGCTCTACCAAGTTTTTTTTTACTTTATTGACAAGTGTTGATATTTATTGATATCAGAAAAGACGAGTAGAAGATTTTATTTATCACCCAATCCTTTCTTACATGCACAAATAAATAAATATAATTCTTTGCTGTAGATTTCACTTTTACTGAACCTGATTACATTACGGCGTAGTGATACATCATTTTTTGACAGCAATTCAATTCAACCATTGCAAAGTCCTTTATATTGACCCAGTGTTTCCATCAAGGTCAATTAAATAACAATAGTTCATTTTTAATAAAAAAAGAAGTTACTTTTAATAAGAAATGAACTGTTCTTTGAAAATAAATAAAATGTCTTAAGGAGATATCGCAGTAGATTATGAAATTTATTACTCAAGCGATATCTACTGTAAAATGTATTATTGGGTGATAATATCAAATATCAATATCTAATGTACTCAATTGCTACTTCGCCTGTCCAACCTCGTGGGTTTTCTCCAGGTCCTCCAGTTTCCTCCCACTGCTAAAGACCCCTACACGCAAGCGAATTATTGAAATAAAATTGAACCATGTGTTAGTCCTGAACTGACCTAGTTTGTGTCGAGTGGACATTAAACCCCATTTCTCTCTCTCTCTCGCTGACTGTAAATAAGAGCCCTTTAAACTAAGTGGTTGAGCCAAGTTTAGTGATTACTGCACAACAAATAATGAAGCCATGGGGGCTCAGTGAATAAGGCACTTGCTCATTAACCATGTGATCCAGAGTTTGATCAGGAATTTTCACTGTGGTGTCCCTTTGTCAGTGCAGGTTGCAGCATCTTGTAGTTCTTATTGGACCAGATATACACATTGTCATACATGTACATGCAAAAGAATCCATGACAGTTACAATTCGATGTAGAATAGGAACAAATGTTGCTGTCCTAGCAAAATTCGCTACTGCTTGGCATATGCCAGTCTTTATTGTTTGCTCGAATAAAGGAGTAAAGTAGAATGTTAAACCATATTTCACTTCATTTATTTATAACCATACTTAAAATTGCAGTTGAACAATTCGGAGACATGTTATTCAGATTTGAGATTATTTTGTATATTGGATGTGAGATAAAGAAGAATATAGGTTCCCTTTATTACCAAGCATTTCTGTTATCTTAAATAGATATAGGTTATTAAAGAACAGTCATTCTTTGTGTGTATCACGATTTTCCAGCATGGTTCTAGCTTGTCAGTAATGCAGGACGGAGGACCTGGGAGGACAAGGTCCTATGTATACATCGGCGTGCATGTAAAAGAACCGTTGACAGTTGGAACTCAGTACCGCTGTCCAGGCAAATTTCCCTCATAGCACACTGTATGGCATATGCCTATCTTCATTAGCCTAGTCGGACGTTAAACCCCATTTGGTGCACTAGCTCACAACCAGGAGATTCGGGGTTCAGTCCCGGTGATGGCCAATAAAGTTCCTCTGGATTTTCCACCAAGGTGTCCCCTTATCAACGGTGCATAACAGTGCCTAGTTCTTCTGATAGGTTGAAAAACTGTGTTCCTGTGTACAGTTTTGTGTGCATGTAAACGATTTCATGACAGTTGTAATTCAAGGAAGAGTAGGCAGAATTGCCATTGTCAGCACACTGCATGGCTTTGCCTGGTTTCATTAGCTTGGTTGGTGCAGAAAAGTGGGACACAATTTAAGCCAATTTCATTTTTATTTCCAATTGCTGGTCTGCAGAAATTTCCTGCTAGTCCAAATCTATAAAGCCATCTTATCTATAAACAGTGATCATTGGGGTATTGTTTTCTCTCAAGATTTTAAGACATTCTATTTCTGACAATATTGTCTATTACTTATTTCTGCAGAATGTTTATTTTTTAGTATTACATTTAAAAACTAATACACAAAATACAATCTGTATTCATTTCTGTCTTAGCAGTCCCCTTTATACTGCTTAGGAGGAGTTGTGGTGTCTTGATAACACGCATGCTCACCAACCAGGTTTTGGGTTTGCTCTTGGTTTTGCTTCCTCCTTGTCAGTTGTGCAGGTTGAAGGGCCTGGAAAGGATAGCATCTAGTCGTTCGGATGGGACAAAAAAAAACCCAAGGTCCCATGTACAGATTTGCGTGTACAGAAAACACTGTAACCCGTGTATCATTTAGTCTTGTGTATTTTACACTAATTTCTTTCACATTCATTCAATATCAAATCTTTGTTTAAAAATTTGTAAAAATTATTTAAAATTACCCAAAATTATCTAATTTGTACTTGTGTCCAGTTTAAAGCTGACCATTCAATTTTGATAATGAGTGTCCTATTTACAAGCGTTTTCCTTCGGCAAATTAAATTCTAGAACATTTTTAGAAGTATTAGAAAAAGAAATAAAGGTGTTTGAAGTATATATATCTGGATAAAAAACATTTCCTATTTAATGTAAATCGGTATATAAAATGAGTAAAAAGAATCTCTGACTGGACCAGTTTACGATATGTAGAAGCTAGTTGAACTTAAAGAGGTCAGTCATCTTTCACAGAGTTATAAGAAAGCCTTCCTATTATCTCTGTAAAACAGATTGATAAATACTATAACCAAACAGCTATCATGTAATACTTCCTGCTTGTTGAGGTTTTAAGCTTTATATTACTAGGATTTTAGAGCACTGTTTGACATGACAGGACAGACAGGTTATATGAGGTGAAATAAAAAACAGACTTATTATCATTATTTAAACAGATTTAAAGAATTTCTCTTTAAAATTGTGTATCACTATCAGACAGTAAGAATTGATTTAATCCAGTTTATATTATGTAGCTCATACTAACCTCTTTATATTGAGGTCAGCAGAAATATGCCTTGTCACTATACAAATATACAGAGAGTTTTAAAGATAGATACAGTGGCTCAGGGTTTTTGTGCTGGTTCATTAGCCAGCAGGTCCCAGATTCGATCCTAGTGTTGGCAGTGAATGTTCCACAGGATTTTTCATCCTGATTTCCCCTTGTCAGTGTTGCCTAGACATTTGAATGGGCCCCAAAAACTGAGGTCTACTGTTGAAATTTTATGAAAGGTAGAAAACAAGGCTGCTATCAATCTGATTAAAACACAGATCCTTTTTAGTTTTGTTTTTATAGTTCAAAATTTCATTTTACTTGTTTTTACTACACTAGGATCTGGAAGAATTGTTATTATTGACGTGTTCTGAATGGTGTGAGGGATTAGCCAATGAAACGGCCTGTTACGGCGAGCTTTAGGCGTATGATCTCTGACATGACCTATCGCTACAACCGGTCAGATCTTCATGTAGTGTAGGCCATCGAAAGTATAAAAGAAGAAACGAAATATAGACCTGTATTTTAATCTGATTGGGCTGCTATCCAAGCAAAAATTTTCCTCATTCCCGGTCATTTTACAAGATCTTGCATATATGTCTAATTATTGTTGTCAGTAAAAATTGGTCGACAAATTCAAAACTGTTTGACTTTGAAAGTTCTCAAAAGATATAGGAGCCACAGTGGCTCAGTGATTAAGATGTTGGCTTGCTAATCTCAATTAAGGTCCTGTGTTCGATCCCGGTGTTGACCAAGAAGGTTCATTGGGATTTTCCAACGTGGTTCCCCCCTGTCTGTGGTGCAGGACAGAGGACCTGGTATAGTTGTTCGGATGATACGAAAAACTGAGGTCCTGTGTACACATTGGCATACATGTAAAAGAACCCTTTGCAGTTGGAAATTCAATATAGAGTAGGCCATAGTGCCGCTGTCAGGGCAAAATTTCCCTCATAACACACTATATGGCATATGTCTGTCTTCATTAGCTTTGGTCATTCGGAGACTAACAACGTATAGCTGTTTAGACGGGACGAAAAACTGAGGTCCTGTGTACACATTGGCGTGCACGTAAAAGAACCCTTTGTAGTTGGAAATTCAATATAGAGTAGGCCATAGTGCCGCTGTCTTGGCCAAATTTCCCTCATTAGCCCAGTCGGAGCAGAAAAGTAGGACATTAAAACCATTTCAGTTTATTTTGTCAGGGCACAGAGTTGTCTTTCTTCAGTGTTTTTTTGTCCCCCGCCTTTCGAAGAAAGCAGGGGACTATTAAAATGGGTTCGTCCGTTTGTCCGTCCGTCTGTCTGTCCGTCACACTTTTTGGGACACAATAACTCTCTTCCTAATTGAGCTAGAATGTTCAAACTTGGTGTATGTGTTTATTAGGTCAATGCCTTGATGGAGTTCGAAGATGAGCATTTTCCGCTTAGGGTAAGCAGAGATAAGCAATTTGATTGGTTGATGCTTTGGGACACGATAACTCTCTTCCTAATTGGGCTAGAATGTTCAAACTTGGTGTATGTGTTGATTAGGTCAATGCCTTGATGGAGTTCGAAGATGAGCATTTTCCGCTTAGGGTAAGCAGAGATAAGCAATTTGATTGGTTGATGCTTTGGGACACGATAACTTTTAATTGAGCTAGAATGTTCAAACTTGGTGTATGTGTTTATTAGGTCAATGCCTTGATGGAGTTCGAAGATGAGCATTTTCCGCTTAGGGTAAGCAGAGATAAGCAATTTGATTGGTTGATACTTTGGGGCACGATAACTCTCTTCCTAATTGAGCTAGAATGTTCAAACTTGGTGTATGTGTTGATTAGGTCAATGCCTTGATGGAGTTCGAAGATGAGCATTTTCCGCTTAGGGTAAGCAGAGATAAGCAATTTGATTAGATGAGCATTTTCCGCTTAGGGTAAGCGGAGATAAGCAATTTGATTGGTTGATACTTTGGGGCACGATAACTCTCTTCCTAATTGAGCTAGAATGTTCAAACTTGGT